AACGTCAACTCAGACATGGGCGCGCATCAAGAAGCCAGACTGGAGAGGATCCAAACACAAGCAAACAGCTAGCAACGACTCTCCAGCCGAAATGAAACACAGCACAGAACAACACAACACACGGGAAGTCGCCTCGCATAACGATCCCGAGTCGAGCTCCATCGCCCCCTACCACCTTCTATCTCCAGCGCCTACAACGCCATCTCGTTCATCTTGTCGGAAAGATGATATCCACACCGAGCTATCTCATACTTCACCTCAACGCTCCACTTCACACTACCAATAGGGGCGAAGAATATCAAACCGTCTATCTACCCTAACCGTTCCCCATAAGAAAAGAGATACGGATATAATTTATGTTTCCACCACTTCAACAAACCTACCCACTAAGCACTAAATTTTTATTTTTTTTATAATTTTGACCACGTCATATGTATAGGAGTACAATGTCTTCACAACCAAAAAAATAAAAAAAATAAAAATATAAAATCCTATTACAGCTGGAGATTTTTTTAATGAGTTCGGGAGTAACTCTGATAACCGGAGACAAACTGGCAGTTCCAGCCGTGCGAAGGTTCAAATCGAGGACAGCGGTGAAGCGCAGAAGAAGTTTGCTAATGCAAAGTCTATCTCATCTGCTCAATACTTTGGGGACCAGAATAAGGCTGGCGATTCAGAAAGTCAAGTGCGGTTGCAGAAGTTCGCTAGCTCAAATGCGATCTCAAGCGACGACTTTTTCGACCGTGACGAAGGTCGTGGTAGTCCATCAGCTGTTGATCTGAGTCCTAGTGAATTGATGAACAAGCTCACTCAGCAGATAGCAGCTCTTAATTCTTTGTTGGACCCTTGACGATGAAAACTTATATGCGGATGGAAGTCTTTGTGAGGCTCTAAATTAGCTTCACCCGGTAAGGACGATCTTGAGTACTTACTGTGTCCATCTAGACCTTGAAGCTTCACGCCGTGTTTTCTGGTTTTAGAACTTCACTCTATATTCTTTATACAGGCTTGTGAAAATAATGATATTAGTCTCAAATTTATCTCCCCATGTGAGAAGTGCGAGGCTCGAGATAGTCCGATGGGGATAGTTGCCACCATCAAGGCAGGCCTCGTTTCTGATTCAGCAATTGACGCAAGAAGAGAACTATTTTAGCCTCTATAGCGGGTTTCAGTGGAGTGCTCACATGGCCTGATGACTTGTTGGAGGGGAACAGGTCAGCCGAGGATACTCTAGTCTATGAGGAGGTGGAGGAGATGGTGAGTCTCGCAGCTGCAGTGTCATCATCGTTAGATGTTCCACTTTGGGATTCTTGCCACACATTACAACAGGAGGCTGATAGGTTGGTGAAGAAGGCTTGGAGTGAGGCCTCTTTACCAGCAGAGGCAGAGCGAGTCTCAGGTGGTCGGCTAGTATGTGATCTTAGCACCCTATCATCATTAGTTACTACACCTATCGTATGGGAGTATTCCCCAGAGGGTGTTTGTTTGCTGGATCTTTTTGGAGGGATCAGCACGGGTTTGGCTGCAGTGTTGCAGTCAGGTATTCTTGTACGTAGATACTTGTACGTGAAGAAACTCAACGTGCAGTCTCGTCCTTCTCCACTTCCTGTGGATTGTCTGCAGTCCGTCGTTCCATTCTACTTTTTTCAGACTGGGTGATGGACCCAATGGTTGTCTCGAAAGCTCACTTTGATACATCGAGTTCGGTGGGTTTTTATCGGAAGCCGGTTGTGAGGATGACTCGCGTCGAACTGTTGCAGCAGGACCTGTTGTGGTTTTTGTGAAGATTCTTTTACATGTTCGATTTCTTGTAGGCACAGTTGAGGCGTCACTAGAGGGAAAAGCCTTCGGGAAAAGGAATAATAGTGCCTGCTTCGGAAAATTGTCAGTTCTTTGAGTAAAATCAGTGTCGAAACACAAGTACACAGAGAGTCGAGCCCAACTCACTACTCGCAGGTAGAATTAGAGTCGAAGCTAGCGGGACTGACATATCCCTACGCGAAAGGCTCAACTCGAAGAACTGACAGTTCTTCGAGCTCGCCTCGAATATATCCCTGGAAGGTGTCGACCTTATCCAACGCTCCTCGCCCGTCTGCCGCGGCCCAACGTTAGCCGACTCCCAACGTTCCCCGACTTCAACTCGAACTCAACGTGCTCAACTCAAATCGACCCAACGTCTCAAGCCATGACACTTTTTTGTTATGGAACAATAGTCATTGTGTACGTTTAGAAAGTGAAAACCTCTATTGCAGCGTACTTGCGTTGGTGTGAGTAAATACAATACTTTTCTGATAATGACAACGATGTATATATGATCATAATGTGAAAAATGAAGGCTTATTTCATTCGTGTAATAAGAATAACCGGGACATTTGAATGAGTGAACAGGACTTTCGACAGCGTTCAAGTTTGCTACCATTTATAGAGCGTTGAAATAGTGCGTTTTGGAGAGTTTTCGCCAAAGGAGCCTACTCCACCTTGAACCATTCTCAATTTTTCCAGTCACAAGACCAGTCGATCTGGACACATTTCAAACAGATTGCAAATGTAGACGCATTTATTCAAGCTTTACCTCTAGAAGCCATACCACACATGCAAACTTTATTTCCCGGTCTCAAATTACTCGACTAGCTGACCTTGTTACCTTTCCCTCTACCTTTAACCAAAACCGTGATCTCCAACAAGTCCATACGCGATAAAGAAGTATGGTTTTAAGAACATGACTGCCCATTCTCCTTTCAAAGGCTGGGTTAAAATTACCGCGTAGTTAAAGATTTTCAGAACATGACTGCCCATTCTCCTTTCAAAGGCTGGGTTAAAATTACCGCGTAGTTAAAGATTTTCAGTGCCTCTCACAATTGTTGCATCAATGAAACTGTGTTATATAAAAATTGTGACATAGCTCAAGACACACTCACTGGCTACTGCAGCAATGCGGACAACAAATTTATGATCAATTGTCGTGGTCCCATCCTCTTGTTTGGTCAACTTTGAAGTAAGTGTGTATAATCCGCTTCAACGCGATTCTAATTTTTGGAATTTGATCATACCAGAGAAAGAGTGAAGGCTTTGGTTGTGGAACGTGGTTTTGGTTTCAATCAACACAACGCACTATGAACTCTTCTACCACAATCGTCGGGAAGCGTGGACAACTTTCTATAGTGTATGTTAGAATGATTATTACTACCTCATACTTCCACAACACACTATGAACTCTTCTACCACAATCGTCAGGAAGCGTGGACAACTTTCTATAGTGTAATTTAGAATAATCATTACTACCTCCTACTTCCCCGCTACTTCGTCATCGTACATACCTAAGTGTAATCGTCGTGACAATTAGTTTATGGTCGTGACTAAGTGGCGGCCCCCCATTTCGGACGCGTAATGGGTCGCCCACTATGTCTGTTTAGAATGGATGGGGTATATAACCTCATCCAAGATCTCTCTCCATAACTTATTATACTATCCTTCCTCACAACCTAGCACCTGTGTATGCTGCTCACTCTTATATGGTATTAGAGCCATTAGGGTTTAGGGTTGGGCCCTCCGGATTTTGACTCTTGCTCGCTTTACCTCTGCACCTGTCTTCATTTTCCTGTCCACGTTCATGTTGCTGTCCGAGTTCTGCACCTGTCTTTTGGCTCTTGCTCGCTTTACCTCTGCACCTGTCTTCATTTTCCTGTCCTCGTTCATTTTGCTGTCCGAGTTCTGCACCTGTCTTCATTGCTGTGCAAACGCTGGAGTGATTTTTGCGGCGAGTTAAAGGGGGAGTTCAAAAATCGATGCTTTATTGGAATGTTTGAGTGAAATTTCAAGAATTTTTGTGTTGTTGTCTGTATTTTTTGAGAAACAGGAAGATGACATCTCCAGGGGTCTGACCCTCACTAAATTCAATGAGCAGCATTTCCATTCCTGGAAGAATAAAATAGGTTGAATCCTTCGAGTTCAAGGATTGATGGGCTTCATGGAGGGCAAGGAGACCAGGCCAACCACTCCTCCTGATTTTGCAACCAGTACACCCGCGTCAGGACCAATGAGTAAGAAGGAATGGGACGACAAGAACCTCATATCCTTGGCAATGTTCGGACATTATCAACTACTTATAGCTCATTGTGAGACAGCAGCTGAGGCCTGGGCTGAACTTCAAAATGCTAACGAATCCCATGACATCCCGATGCAGATGCATCTCCGAGATGCCCTTCACACTTCCCAAGAAAAATGCAGGTGAGTCTATGTCCCGACATATTACGAAGTTTCGTCTCCTTCTTGATCAGTTGGCAACTATAGGGCAGATTATTTTGGAGTCCGAAGCATACACTTGTCTCCTCATGAGTCTTCCCCTGGAGTACAGATCCTTTGAGATTATTTCGGAGTTCGAAGCATACACTTGTCTCCTCAGGAGTCTTCCCCTGGAGTACAGATCCTTTGAGAAAGTGAAGAGATAAAAAAGATACCATATCAAGGTGCTAGCTTCTTTTGTTTCTTTGATGTCCAACTAATGGTTCCACCATTGAGTTGGAACTATGATAGTTACACCATGAGAGTGGAACCATTAGTTGGACATCAAAGAAACAAAAGTTAGTGGCGCTTTCTTCTACAGAAGCAGAGTACATAGCTTTGTCCAAGGCTGGAGCTGAAGCTATGGGTAAGAGAATTATTGACCGATCTAGGTTTTGAGCTGGACTCGACCACTATTTTCTGTGACAACCAAAGTGCTCTCTCACAAATAGAGAATCAGAAAAACAACGAGAGATCTAAACACATTGACATTGGATATCATTTTGTCAAGGATCTAGTCACCAATAATTTGGTGAAATTTATATTCCAACTGAAGAGATGATTGCTGATATTATGACAAAACCATTAGCTAGAGAAAGGCAGTGGTGTCATAATCAGAATTTAGGTTTATTAGTTGGAAATGATGAAGAGAGAAGTATGTAGGTAGTAAGTGGGAGTGTTAGAATAATGATGACTACCTCCTACTTCCCCGTTACTTCGTCACCGTACATACGTTAGTGTAATCATAGTTAGTCTATGGTCGTGACAGTTAGTTTATGGTCGTGACTAAGTGGCGGCCCAGTACGGACGCGTAGTGGGTCGCCCACTGTGTCTGTTTAAACCACTTGTACCTCGGATTGGATATATAAACCCATCCAAAATCTCTTTCTATAATTTACTATTCTATCCTTCCTAAGAACTCAGTACATGTGTAAGCTGCTCATTCTAATAGTGTATTACCAGCGTCTACAGAAGGGCCAATGAGATTGAATAGTAAGTTTGAGCTCCGGCATGCTTGACTGTGGAAGAGCTAGCCAATTGGCATCCATGCTGGCGTTTCGACTGATATACTACAAAAATGCTTTGAGGTACTGAAATAAAAATGCGTGTAGCGGGAAGCGACCAGCTGAAGGCAAGGAAATAGAGAACAACCATGACCCACCGAGAAATCCAAGATCTTTTTTGACCCAAAACTGGTGAATATCATACATGAATTGTAAACCTTTGGCAGATTGAAGTAAACTTTTTCCGCCTACTCGGGGACGGTCTCACAAAGAAATCATTGGAACATGTGGTGGTAAAGGAGGAAGTAATGGTGAAACGTCAAAAGCCGCTGGTATAACTAGCTCCACTTCATCTGGCCAAAATGAAGAGCTAGCCCTGCAAGTACTCTTCATGAACAATCTGAGCCCCTAAAAGCCAGCAATTTAAGTCTGGATGTAGTTCGTCCAGAACTAGCAATACAAATTTTCAAACCAATTTTAAGATGACATTTCAGGCCACTGGACCTGATCCTCAACCCCTCGAGGTGACCAGAAGGATTGTCTTATCAGATTCGGGTCTTCTCAACTCACCTGTTTCCAGTGAGAAAAATGTTTACTCGGTATAATGTCACCAGTGGCCCGGTCCTCTCGAGAAGGATATACTTACACTACTGGGATGTTCGTTTGGAGGTCGTCGTTGCTGAGCTGCAAGCCAAAAGTTGCACCATATCAATGTCAGAAAAGGCGTTCAAATCTTGACCTTGACCTTCAATCTATTGTTGAGATCCGAAACTCAAACGTACTGACGCAAATATGAAACACCCTCAACAGGTACTTTCCATTGCATCGTATCAGACCCTATCCAACGGTTATGATGAACCTTATATCTGTCAGATATAATTTTATTTTTTTATCGCTCGAATTCTGCATTCACAAAGACGTATATCTAAACACTTTGGACCAATTCCTGCGAGGGCTGTGTAGGTGTTTGAAGTGTCTTAGATGAATTCATTGAAGGTTCAAAAGTCTGCCTGAGTGCGTTTCCATGAACTGCAGATCATCCCAAACGTTTCAAGCGAAGTTCATGATCAGAATTCTTCTTCAGGTTTTAGTGGACAACAGAAGCACACAAGGCCCTTCCGGTATAACGCAGATGGTCGGTTTCTGCCAGTCAGGTGCATTCAGTTTCTCAGATTGGAAAAAACATTCCAAGATATTCATCAGAAGTTGACTTACGTAGAATGAAAGGGGCGGAAGACATACCTCAGAGCGGATTGTTCGTGTTCCATTTCACCAACGTTGCTCAAGAGTGACGAGGCCTTTTCAGATGTTACCTCTGAATTACGAGATTCAAACGACAGTACATCACCAGGTTTCTCCATCGAACATTCCTGACCATCTCCGCCATCATCTACATCTTTACCTTTTTTCACAATGAATTCAGGCTTCTCCTCTGCAATATCACCAGGTTCAGTGTTGATGTGAGTCTCTTTCTCTACGTCTATGAAATCGGTGTCTACAGCAAGTTCCACACTATCTTCCTTGTGCAGATTAGGGTTGTGTGCTGTGTCCTGTTGAGTTTCGCCGAAGCTTTCAATGGCATTTGTCTCAGTAGACTGCTCTGATACAAGACCACTACAATCTGGAGTGCTAACTGTTTCCTCGACTGAATTCGTTTCTACTCCACTGCCTTCTCCTTTGGATGCAGGAGCATCTACTGCCAGGTGAAAAACTTTCAAGTCTGATGACACTTCTGAAACATGATCTGAATACGAATCTGCTTCTTGCTCTGAAACAGTATTAGTGCTGATGGAATTGGACTCGATACCGGTTGTGGAACCCGAAACGTCTCCTATGATCTCCTTGGTTTCAACATCAGGCTGTGATGTTGCTGAACTTGAAGATTCAGAGTGAGGTGCATTGTGGAAAAAAGGTGCATCTTCAGCCTCGGCTGACTCCAGTAAAGACTGGTTCGCACCGACATCGGGTTTCGAGTTGGAGGAGATGCCTGGAGTCTGAATATTCTCATCGTCCAGGCTGGCTTCATCTCCGGTGGCAACTCTTTCACGACTTTCAGGAGTTGAGGAGGATCCCGCTGCATCCTGGTCATGATTGACTTCCCCCATCCGGGGACTCGTAGGATGTGATGACACCAACTTTGGCGATGATTCAGCCGACTCATTCTTCCCTACCACAGAGGAAGAGGAAGACGAAGACACAACAGCTGCACTCAGGTTCTCGGGTACAGAGGGTGCAGAAAATGCCTCAAAGTCATCAACATCTTCTTCCGGGCTCCCGTCTTGTTTCGGTTCTAGCGTGCTCGTCCCATTCGAAGGGCCAGGTGAAAATGGTTGGAAATCGCTGTCCATGTTTACATCGGGTGTGGGAGTCGAGGATGTGACATCTTGAGAACCATCTTGAAAGTCATCCCAGTCGTCGTCATCATCTTCGAAGTCATCAACTTGGGCAGGCTGCGGTGCTGCTGGAATCGCCCGAGGGAGCGACGAACTGCTCGGAGGTGGGATGGCAGCCAATCCACTAGTCGTTATGGCTGGCGTGAACAGCTTTGGTGGTGGCAGCGGTACAGGGGCTGGAGCAGCAACGTATGAACTGGAAGGCTGTTGGGACATGGATGCTTTGATGATTGCCTGCAACAAAAAAAATTTATCAGCTAGAAAATCTTTTAAGCTTTCATGAATCTCATTGCTTGACAAGCCGTGTTCCTAGTCGTTTTTGACCTCTATAGTGCAAATTGAGGACAAAGACTTCATCCATTCTATCCTTACAAAGAACAGTACAGGCTGAATACATGCTACCAAGCGATAATCCTGGGCAGTATCAAACTTTTTTCTCTTGTGGTTTTGCTACTATACAAGTAAAACAACACTATAAAAGTAGACTCAGAAAGTTTCAAAAGGTAAATGACAGGGTCCATGAGCCTCCCAGGAGGATTACTACGATCTGCAATATAGCAGTACATAACTAGCCCCAGTGTAATCACACATGTTTCCAATTCAAGAAATTGATTGCTGAATGTTTACTCACTGACATACGATGACAAGTTTCCGGAGAATCTTTTCTAACAAACAAGACTAGAAGGATTAGAAGGCAAGAAAGGTCGTGACTACGAAGTCTGAAAGTTCATAGGTAGTGATTTTGCCTGGAGCTGTTGCCGCGATTCAGGTGGCAGCTGAAGCAACACAGTTCTAAACTGTGCAGCAGAAGATGGAACAGATGCAAGATGTGTTACAAGCTTCACAGCGGCAGCTGTGAGCACATTTGTAGCCTGCGCAGAGACGACACATGTCATTACGAGACAGAAGCATACATCTAGAAAAATTTCAGGCCAAAGTCGATGACCGATAGATAGAGAGCGTCAACAACTTCAGGCTAGTGGCCTTCTACCAGCTCGACATGTGGATATATACACGCTCATACAAACACCGAAATCGGCCTAACAGAACCAAGAGCTTACTGATATCAACTTTGCAGACAGAGATCTGCAGTTACCTGTGACGACCCTTGCTTTTGGAAAGAAGCAGCAGCGATGATTGCAGGCAACAGCAAATGAAGGACATTTTGCTGTGCCTCATCGCCTTCTACTAGAGAATACAACAAAATGAGGAGCTTCAAACATTCACCAACAGCGGCTGCCGAAGCTGAAGTCAGAGGTTTCTGCATATACAACATTTTATGCGTAAGTTTTTGAAATGACATATATTTGCCCTCGCACCTGGCTTAAAGAAGTTGGATAGGAGTACGTACAAGCTAAGCCTCGGGAAACTATGGAAGCACATTCAGCTTATCCCCGTCTACAGGTGCAGATATGGGCCGAAAGGATCAATCCACTCACCTGAGTGGCTTCATATACTACTTGCGTCACATCTGCTCCTAGCTCCCGCAGAAGTATCAGGGCCCAAGTATGCGAATCTCCACCTTTAGGCTCCGAAGAACCTGTCTGTGAGACCGTCCTGAGGTTCTGAAGAGCAGCCAGCTGAACCTGCCATCAAATTATCAAGACACGTCATCATCATGCTCGAGCTGACAATGCCTTAAAAAGAAGTAACATAGAAATAGTTCCCTCTAAGTTGCTCCAGGATGAAAAGTGTTACTTAAATAGAATATACGACTCACTTGGAAATGAATTGCCTGGGAACAAATACCTGTATGTTCGAATTGGTGAGAAACCAGCGTAGGCAGTTGATGCACCTTCCTTGTGCTGCTTTCTTGAATAGTGGACCACTTTCTTCAACACTAATAATCTCAGGAACGGAAGGTACAATAGATACCATTACTCCTAACAGAAGTTCCAACCGTTTTGACAAGACCTGCTCTGCTTTGTTTTCTGTTCCATCAGCCCCTTTGATTACTTGCTCTGCATGATTTACGCAATCTTTTGCCAAGCTCTCCACGGCAGCCGCGAGAATGGATGCCCTTTGTGTCAAATCGAATTCTTCCGAAGAATTAACACCTACTCACAGTAATAAACATGGTCTTCATTTAGCGAAGAGCTCAATCTCACAGGGACCTTACAAGACTTTCTACGCACTTGTATTTTTCTCCAGTGATGGGCTTGCGGTCATAAGCAAAGATGCTGCGTATAATGTTGAATTGTGATTTTTTGAAGCTAAAACTCGATGGTACGCTCCAGTTTACTGCAACTAGGAATAATTCCTGCTCTGATTGCACGCGAAAAGATAAATGTTGACGAGCAAAATTACTATATATTGACCGGATCAGATAGGCACACCTTGGACGGGCTTAGCTGTCGCCGCCGTCACATTGGTGATGAAGCCCAAGGCTGAAGTAACCACGATGCCATCTACTGGTACCAAGTTCAAAATCTTTATTCCAGCAGAGAGCAGCTGAGGTAGCAGTACCTCCTGAACCTATCCAGCCATAGAAGACCAACAATCAAATTGGTTACAGTAGTACCACGAAACAGAACCTTCAAATGAATGTGAGCGTGAATATAAAAACAAAAGTAAGATTATTAGGACTATGATGTCCGCTCAGAGAAAAATCTCAGAGCTAAGGTTTAAAGAGCAAGCTATATAACCCACTTTTAGATAGACTTCCTAAATAGACTTCTTCTGACGACGATCTAGCTGGAAGGAAATAGACTTGTCAAATAATTAGAAAAGACGTGCTTTCGCTATAATTTCTCTTTGGATATATACATACGGGATATATATAGTCTTAAAAATGGGAAGTGATCGCCATGCATTCCAGTCTACCTGACTGACGGTAGCATGTTTGACAGCTAGAAAATAGCAGATAAAATGTATTGAGGAAAATTAAGAAATAAATACCTCTGCGTTTAGATGGCCCACAAGATTCCCGAGAGTTTCTAAAGCATTTGACATAACCCTCTCAACTTCATCCGCTTTTGCGTGGATAGTTCTCTCACTTCTGTCATCATGAAAGTCAGATTTCGTCAAACATTATATTCACTCGTGACATCTGTACAGATCGGTAAGTCCTATATTCTCTTCAGTTATGCGAGCCACAAGGTTATGCTCAAGATGCATGGCATCTCCCAAAATTTACGATGACTCTCACCAACTTAACATTAAGACTGATCAAGACCACTAGTATGTAATCACCTGTAATAAATTGCTCAGAGATCAGTTTCAGAAAGCTTAGATGACATTGGCTTACAATACCTATTTAGAAGTTGGAAAATGTTCCCGAGGCAGAGTTCTACAATATTTAAAGCGATGTCTTTGCATTCGATGTATCCCTGAGGACAAGACTTTGCAACCTGCACAACGTAAATTCGTAATTAATGGTCCCATATACCCTGGCATACTTACAAGTATTCAAGTGATTCAGTCAAGCGTCAGTACATACAGGAAATGAACTAAATGAGGAATAATCTGATCAAATGATCTGCATCCGCAATTATATGAATGAGCCGCATTTTTATATCATGTAAATCTAAAAACGTTCAAACAATGTGGTATAGTTAAGGCTGACCTGATCTAGAACGCTTAACACGGCATGTGACGCGTTTGACTTCACATTAACAAATGGTTTTGATAGAATCTGCGAAGAGCCACTCAGTAATTGTTGTCAATATCAGCGAAGACTCATTACTTAGCAAGATTTATACATTACCACATGAAAACTCATTATCAAATTCCTGTTATGGCCTGAAATAATAGAGCGATACTAAGTAGCTTTGAAGGAGATGTGGCGCAAAAGGTGAGGACTGTTTGAGTATTACAAGATGAATGAAAGGATGAGAGAAATGACTGTACACAACGGTTTCCAAGTAATAGGTGAGCAAAAAGGTGTTTTATCTATTCATGACCTTTGATGCTTTAAACAACACTCCCAGAATCAAAATACGTTATCTATGCGGATGAGCGAGACTTAATACCTACATTGCCTTGCGCTGCATATCTAGTGGTTATTGATTTCACAGGTATTTAAATGCTGCGTAATATATCTGGAGTTTTGATAATTTTGCTCAGGGTTATATTAGTAATGTATAAGTAATGATCCCAATAGATCAAACAATTTCATTATGATAGCCTTCGACCTTACTTAGGTAGTCCACCGTAGACAGCAAAAGATTGAGATAGGAAAGTTACATGCCATGAATTACGCCGGAGGTGGATACATTACACATGAATGTATCCACCTGAAAAATGTATCGACATGAAAACGTTGAGAAAATTCCTAGTATCATTCGGAAATTCGTGAAGTCAGGTAATGTTCCAGCTATGCATTCGAAGAAGAACAGCTGGTTTACTTACTTGCACAAGCTCCTTGCATAGCTCAACAGAAAGCATCTGGGGATCATAAAATCCCTCTGAGCAAAGACTTCGTAGAGAATGCAATGCTGCCAGTTGAGGTGTAAATTCATATTTATCGACGCGAAATCTTGCATCCACGGAAGGAAAACTCGTAACACTACTTCGTCTTCTCTCTCCAGCCAGATCATCCTCCTCACTGAGGACAAGAATAGCGAGCGCCCAAATTTGCCTAAAGTCTTCCACGGAGAGCTCAATGCCACTAGCAGCTTTGCCTTCAGAGGGTTGACCAGAAGGCCCAGCAGGATAAGCGTCTACTGTGACAGCCTCCAAAACCACCGGCCAAACTTCGGACAAGAAGTGCAGGACCATTGACGCTATCGAGACCAGCTGTATACCTTCCATGAAGGGTTTGTATCCAGGCTGCAAAAAGTTTCAAGATGGAAGCGCTAAGCAGTGAGAATTTGATGTATTCAGGTATTTGCGTCGTACATCCAGAAAGAAGGAGCTTGGCTCATACGATTATGACGCAAGACATAAGGCCTCAAAGGCGATCTGTGAGATTAATCAACTCAGGACCCACAACAGGCTCCGATTCGATCAGTACTTCCAAGACGTGCACCATAACAGGATCCTTTAAGAGCAGAATACTACCTCAGCAACCAACTTTTAAACGTTATGCGATTCAGTAAAAGGACCAGAAGTCGTGTTAAATTTTGTACAAAGCTACCGACCTGCAACTTCGTCGTCGCGTGCAACCGAAGAGCTGTATAATCTCGTAGTATACCAATCCAATACCGACCAAGGATATCTGCATGCTTTGCCAAGAGAGGAAGGATAATAACACTATCTGAGGAACTCTTGGTGTTCCCTTGAGAGCATGCATATGCATATGTCTTCACAGCTGCGTGGGCTCCTAGGAGACTCACTTGAACCTGCAATACAGCAGTCAAGCGCTTTCGATGATATATTTTCAGGATTTCAATAACTGATTCTCTCATAACTATTTTTGTCACTTTATAACAAGTCATACAGGAGGAGTAACTTCACGTCGCCTCAAATAAAGTTTCAGTGAACCAACCTTACATCCCACCCATTCAGCAAAGTTGGGATTAACAATATCCTCCCACTTAAGTAGTGGTTGATTTAATAAGTTCATCATGCGTTGTAGTAGTGCACGATCTCCACAAGCTCCTCCACTTGTAATAATCTGCGCAGCAGCAAAATGCCCGTTTACAATAATAAATTTGAATAGTTTTTGGAACTGGTTAAACTTACTAATCTGTGAACTGGCCATGGTAAACCCGCACGTTTGGTATTCATTGAGCTTAGTCCATCAGCCTCTCTGAAAGTATCACTACAGCGTCATAAATTCAATACAGATGGTTTTTCGAGCGTACCCTAGCAGCAAGCCTCGAACCAGCTGCCATCAAAAGAGGACTTGCAGCCGGGTCAAGTGCCGTTCGTACCGCTGAGACGAGCTGGGCCTATTCAATTCCCCAAAAAATGAAAGACGTGAGAACAAGGGAACGATAAATCTTTAAGAATTCAGGTGAGAGGAAATGTAGAGTTTTCTTCAGATAGAGTATTCTTGATAAAGAGTATTCTTGATAAAGAGAGGTGGGCCACCTAAGGCATTTCCGATGAGCTTAGTAATTTGTTGCAAAAGAATACGAAGATCAGTGGGCCAATCTTATACTTAACATTGCAGAGAAAGGAGCAACCTAAAGGACAAAGTGAGGAATACAAACAAGAATCACATTACGATGAGAAGCTCAGGCATATCATCTAAAGGTCAAAGATACAATAAGATAGCGCAGGAAAATCTCTCTAGGAAAAGAAATGCATCTGAGTAGTGAAAATTGAAACAAGTGGAAAACAAAATGGCATCAGAGAAGTAGGCACCTGGTATTGCTCAAGAAGTAGATGTCCTTCAAATTCTGGATCCACAGTTTCTCCAAACTGGACATATTGAAATTTTGTTAGGTCTGAGCGCTACTCAAACAATGTGGCAACAGCGACCTTCCTATGGTTAAATATTACATTGAGTAAAAAAATTTAGACGAAATCTTTTACTTACAAATGACCGTAAAGCAAACACTGACGAGGTCCAAATCCAGAAGCGTATGATGTTATCAATAACCTTTTGAAAAGGCAGGTGAATTTAGAATGATGACATAAATGGTTTGGGTTTAAACTCATATGGCCCGTGGAAAAGATTCGTGATGACGCATCTAGTATGTAACTTTAATGTACATTGAAGGAAAATTAGTTGAGATGATGGTCTAACTTGTTACTTGAACATACAGAATCCTACAACTAATCCACGATGAAAAGAGAATCCTCGTTACAATGAAACACAGAAAAAGAGAAGACACGGATGTAGATGTAATGAAATTTCTTGTTATCTCATTCATGTTCTCTTACTTCAGCCAAATAATGAAAGATAATTTGACCAGCACAAGCCTTTAGAAACTAACCTTATCCAGCACAATGTCCAACAACTCGACACCGATAGGTCTCACACTTTCCATTGTGCCAGTAGCGACCTGAGATAAGAAGAGTTACTATAACTCAGAAACTTGTATCAAGTCAAATGGCGGAAGGGATTAGTAACAAAGATCGCCAACATCGCAAGACTGCAACGCAGAGTCAGGTCAGAAGTCATGCAGATCCACATACATCCGTACTTCCCATTACTATCACGAACTCATCAAGGATGCTAGAAAAGAACAAAATTTATTCGACAGCCGCATTTTCCTGCTTTCAGTACGTTGACAAACAAAAATCGGGTAGAGAGAACTCAGAGCATTCGGAGAGGCCACATTTGCACCTGATATGCAACTGCTACAAGCTCGCCAAGATGAAGTACAAGCCAATCTCCACCAGGACTTTGGCCGCTCTTTTGGAGCTCCTTGACCATCACAAGATCAAAGTGTGCAGGCTCAACTCCAACGATAACGGGCAGCCGGCAGAGACATCTACAACATGTTGCTTGAATCATCAAAACTACTCAGGGAGTCAAGCAAACTAAGACTTGTACAGACTCTTCCAGTCGCTAGATCTTTCGGCTGTATCTAGAAGGACCCTCAGTTTCCTACAAACTTCCGAATACCTCTTGGCAATTATGAGAAGAACCTGTTCAAGATCTCGTTGTGCCATGTGTGAGAGATAAAAGATGAGGAGAAAACCAAAGAACGTACTCGGCTGCAAAAACTCTAGTTTTGTATCGAGGAAGCTGGTCTGAATCCTTGGCTTTGGTATCGATTTTCACTGGACCCGACAGCCCCGCAGAAGGTCTGTCGGCAATCATGCCTTCATTATCTTCTCCCATGTCCTCATGAACGATGTCATTGTGAAATCTCTCAGACTCTTGCAGGCCAGCACCAGCACTCTTCGTCGTAGATGCTGCTAGAACCTTGAACCAACAGGTTGAACCAAATGTTGCAGTCATTTTCACATGTAAGAGCCCACACCGATGACACTCTTATCTTCTTCACTGAAAACTTTCGAGCTATGTAGTGTCAACGGGGTAACTCACCACATTTCGACATAAATTAAGCCAACGTGAGGGGAAGGATGGGCAAGCTGCTTCAAGGAGGCGCTGCAATGTCGACCGAACAATTTTTATGATGCTGCAATCAATACAGCAGAGAACAAGTAAATATATGCCTCCTATGAGGCAAATAGGAATCCAGGTGACATACCCTGCTTTTCCTATGACTAGTTCGTGATTCCTCTCAAAATACACAAATGCGCTGAACTAGTTTATGCTGGATTGGAGCTCCGATTTTTAGGGCATCCCACCTCTCATCAGTCTCGTTGTCTAGCATTGCGAAGAGATCTTCCTCGATGTGTTCTTCGACCATGGCCACCTAATTAAAGCATCCATGGGGTAAGTTAGACACATGCGATTCGGTAACAGCCGATCTCTTGTTTGATATAATGACAGGCCCTCTATACGCAGAACACAAGTACACTTCGGCTTACTTCAAGGCGGCTACTTAATATGCACCAGATCCAGAAAATAACACTAGATCATCGTTATCAGCACAAGACGAACACAAGAGAACAAAGAAGAAACGTCTAAGATTGTTGTTGCTACAGAAAGTGAAACAAAGACACGTACAGGATCACGTTCCGAAAGATGGCGTAAAGTAGAAGCTGCTGCTTGCCGTAATGAGGGCTGCAAAAGAAATACCCAAAAAATTATCAACAGAGGAATTCATGAGAATCACATATCTCAACGAGAATCCAGGTTGTACATAGCAGGACAATGTTGTAGTAAAAGACTCGAAGTAAGGATGGAAGACCGGGACACGAGTCCCCATGCAAAATAGTGGTGAAAACTTCGTTCCACTTGATAACAACATCCGAGCTAATTCATTAATCAGACACACCTGTCTTGATGTAAGTGTAGGCCTGAGAGTCTGCACATGAGCGTGGACTGGCAATGCTCGGGGTGCAAACAGTGCCAACTGCTGCGTAAAGAGCACGCACCTAGAAGGTCAAAAAAAGAATCGAGGCACTTCAGTGATTCAAAAGTTCACCCTTCAGGATAGAAAATGGGCACATTTCATTGAAGAACGGCACCTCAACATTATTGCATGTCCGGCATAATCACAGGAAGATGTTTTACAGACCGAACTATACATGGGTGACTATTCAAACAACGAATTTGAAATGTAACAAATTAATTATTATGCCTTCCACGTCTAGCATTCTCACTAAAATGTTGATGAACTTGATCACGTAAGCAGGGCGGATGAACCCAAAAAAACACTTTAAAAAAGGATAATCTTCAGTTGCTTGTCAAACACATACTCAAGCTGTGCCGCTGGCTCATTTTCAGTGCTTATCTCCGCAACTAATGCCTGCCAAAAGTGCGAAATCTTGAAGTAAGTAAGCAGCTTGGGCTCTCCAGAGAGGAATTGTCTACGAAACAAAGACGAAGGAGTCTACAAGCCCTCACTCTATCAGATGCATAAATAAAACACAGAAAAGTTTTCACCTTGCACCGAGAAAATAGAGAACTTCCAGGTGACAATTCAGGGCCCAATACAGCTACAACTGCATTAACAAGTCGTCCGATGCGTTGTCCGAGCTCTGGAGCTGCATGGTCTTCAGACAGAAGAATCTCCATGGCAAGGGACAGAGTCGCCTACATACATTCAAATTGAACTAGAGAATGACATTGAAGTCCACAAAAATGGTTTTGGGACTAAGAACAAACGAGCAATCTCAAAAAGCTCAAGTTTCCTACTCCGACAAGATTCGTTCCACAAAATAAAATTAAAGAAAAAAAAAGAAAAGTCATCGCCAACGTACAGCGGTTGTGTGAAGAAAAAGATAGCACACAAGCAAAGCCATCTCCAGAATGAGACCGCAAATTGAAAAGCAGCCACGAACGCTATCGCATTAACAATAAATTACTCAACAAAGGATCTACTAGTAGCACTAAGAACAAAATCGCCTCACCTGGACATGAGGAACATAAGACAGACCAGCAGCATCGGCTGTAAGCCACAATGCGTGAAGGGCCCAGCCATGGAGATAATCATTTGGATCTTTAGCCAAAGCACATAATGCCTGCACCGTTGCTGGCACCAACGCCGATAATGCCATGCCCCCAACACTGCCTCAACAGACAAAAACGGTACATTAATCAAGTGTTTTATCTCAGGGCAAAGACAATTCACTATCCTGATTCTTATAAGCGGCACATCAAGGTACAAGAAAGAGAGCCTTACCTCCGGTGAACACAGCCTAGAGCTAGAGCTGTGGACCCTTTCAGTGTAGAAATGGGCGATGAAATCGTGTCGGAAACCAACGATCGGGTCTGGAGTAAGAAAACGAGAAAGTAGGAGTCAGGAATAAGACAAGAAATAGATTGAAACATAAGCCCGAGCTAACAAATAGAACTTTTGGTCGATATTTAGCTGAACGTGCAATCGTTGGTCTCCTGTTGCTCCTCTGTAGTAAGTTACGGCTGGTCGACACTCTTCTGTACTTAAAACTCTGCTGTACTCAATGTTCACCTCAAACTTGTGATATCAATCACAAAGGGCATACTTGCCAGTTTTCTTGGTAACATCGTTTTTCGTGTCTTGGCCATCAATAATACGTTGACAGTTGATTTCCAATTGACTTTCTTGTTGTTGACCACTCTTCTTCTAAACGAGTGAAAACAGGTGTAAAAAGACTCATGGAGCAGGCGACTAAGTCAACTTTACCAAACGTGCGGCAAAAACGTCACTTCCTAGACGTGCAAGAAATCCAAGTCCTTCGGCCGCAGCACGTCGTCCAGCGGGTGAAATTCCATCTTCGCTCAAAATACTCTATGGCAAAGAACATAGCAGGGTTTATTGCAGATTAGAACGTAGCAACCTTCAGTAGCTTGTCCTCGTGTGCCCACTTTTCTGAACCTCCATCCGAGCAAGTAACCGACAAAATGATTCATATGAAGCCAACCTTCAGTAGCTTGTCCTCGTGTGCCCACTTTTCTGAACCTCCATCCGAGCAAGTAACCGACAAAATGATTCATATGAAGCCAACATCGAGAAGATAAGAAGATTATTCAAAGGAAGTATTTCTGTATAGCAATTTGGGCTTTGAGTAGCCTAAAATACCTGGAATATCTCTTGCACTTGCCTCATAGCATCAACTTCTGAACCCTGAGATCTCATACCTATGGAAGCCTTTTGAGGAGACACAGAACAATCACAAATCAGATTCTACCATCAGCTTTGAAAAAACATTTGCATGCAGTTCGATACTTGTCAAGAAGCTCATGAAAACATTCTTATGCCCTCGGTATGTAAACTACACGTCGCAAAAGTTGAGAGTGCAAGATAAGCAATACAAACATAGATAGTATAACCGATTCAAGGGCTCTTACAATAGGAGTTTTTCCAACTTGGGAGGTGTAATAAAAAAAAAATCGAAACAACAAGAATCTAACCTTTAGACCACCCAAAAGAGCTACACATATGTTGGTGATGTTCGCGCTATGCCAACTTTGCTTCTTCCCAGCTCTGGCTGACTCAAGGATGATCTCAAGAAGCTGCAGTTTCCCTTTCTCTGTCTAGAACCACTTCAGTTGTAATTCATGGCAAAACCTCTTGCCCGGAAGGCAACAGACAGTCACAGCGATGTAGATCATAACGTTCTTCTCTGATAAGATGTATCACAAACTGGGCAAGAGTGATAACTTTGTGAAGTTCGACAAGCTCAGAAATTTGAGGTCCCTCTTCTACGATTTGGAGAGAAGCTTAAGGACAGGAAAATACCTGGGCGGCAAAAACAGTTCCAAAACATAGAAGCATCTCATCGACGAGGACGGTTGCTACTGGTAGAGGCTGAAATACCAGAGATGCTTATCAGTTTGACTGATGCGACTACATGACTACAGAATAATGGTGCGTATGTACATCATGTGTCGTTAAAGCATTACTAGGAAGACAACAACAGGGGGAATCTTAGGAACTTGAAGATAGCCAACATAAACCTCACGAGGGTCAGTGCTAAGTGTGGGATTTAGATGCAGTCTAAGTTTATATTAAAAGATACTATTTCCGTCAAGTATAGGAGGAACCAATATATACTGGTAGATACCGAACACATCACGTACTTGTGGAAAGGCAGGTACTTCATACGCCCATACGCAAGGTAAAAGACCTTGGGCACCCCCTTCAAAAGCACGAAGTTCATCTTCAAAAGAATCTCTGAACGTCAATAAGCACCAGAAACACGTCTTAGCATCAGATGCTTTAGCAAAATATTGTAGGCTGTATAGACGATCAGTTCACCTCAGCATATCCATTAATAGGAAAAATCTTATAGCGTATGAGGTGCTCAAGAAACCAACAAATTTTTCCGATACCTTGAAGTGTGGTTAGTTACTTGGCTGCTCTTATTTGAGTCAAGAAGGCACTGTGCTTTAACAGCGAGAACGAGAACAGAGCCAGATATATACAGGTTATCATTCTTAAACTGCAAGGACATATTCTGGCTAAAATTTGCATGAAGATAGTAATTATTCCTCAATTTTCTTGATTTTCTTCTTCAGCCAGGAAGAGGATAAGTTTAGAGATAAACAAGGAAAACAGAACGAATTTGAAGAAATCTAATCCATCAATTGAAAAACCCGTCGAGGACAAATAATCTATCAAACCAGCGTAGCTTAAGTTGCAATAATCCTTGACTTTGACGATTGGACCTAAAAAATTCAAAAAACCGCTTCAGTAAGGCAGTGAAATCAACGCGCTATACTAGACAAAGCTACCACCACATATAATGTCAAACTTATCAAACACCCACATATTCCCTGCCTAGAAGAATATCTTCTAGGCAGGGAAATGTCCTACGACACAGAGACCTTAACTACCGAAGAGTCTTCTCTACTTTCCCTAAATAGATAATGTTTGACTTTAAAAACCATGTGAAACGTGAAATACCACTCTAGAAGAGCTAGAATACTAACCTTGTGTCAAAATTTACGGGCCAAGGATAGGATATAAAACTATTTTTATATTTAACCATGAACAAATAGGTATTTTTGAATCTCGCGTGTCTACCATTTCACCATCAAGGCTCTAGTTATTACATAATATCTATATCTATATATATCTATAGATATAGATATAAAGTTTTATTATCTTCAATAAAAAAAAAAATTTTAAAAAAATCGCTTAGAGATGAACTATCTTGACAGAAAAAATAGGGTTTATAACAACTCCTCAGAAAGTAGTTCCTAATGCACAAAAAATCATTACAAATTCAACAGGATTTTTTGAAAACAAAGTTGGTGATGTACTAATATAAGCTTGAATATAAGGATATATTTCGTTATTTTTTATTTGTTGAAATCAGTTTAATAAATTTTAAATAATAATAAGTGAAACTACACTTATAATTAATGCACTTACGACCTATTCATGCACTTAGATAAATCTAGAATCTGTTGTTCCTTTAATTCTTTCATAAATCTCACAGATAACACTCTTGCTCAGATAAAATCAATTGAACAACATTATGAACCGACGTCATTGTTTAGCAAAACCACTCCCATAGAGGTTGCAAGATCATTGATGGTGAGGAAACTGTTTGGCAAAACCACTCCCATAGAGGTTGCAAGATGATTGATGGTGAGGAAATTGTTTGGCAAAACCACTCCCATAGAGGTTGCAAGATAATTGATGGTGAGGAAACTGTTTGGCAGAACCAATCCCATAGAGGATGCAAGATAATTGATGGTGAGGAAACTGTTTGGCAAAAAACCACTCCCTCACCAACAACGACTGCTTAGTGCCCCGTCGTTGTGGGTGAAGGAGCTGGTGAAATACAATCTGTTGCGAATCCTTTACATACACCAAACATGCATTGACCGCTAAGCTTATGGCTTTTTTCCCCATTTGAAGACGACAGCAACGAAATAGTCCCTTGAAAGCATGACGCATAATGGAAACGACGTGATTCACGTCGTTTCCAATAACCAATTTTTCTTGATTTTCTTCTTCAGCCAGGAAGAGGATAAGTTTAGAGAGAAACAAGGAAAACAGAACGAATTTGAAGAAATCTAATCCATCAATTGACAAAAACGTCGAGGACAAATAATCTATCAAACCAGCGAGCTTAAGTTGCAATAATCCTTGACTTTGACGATTGAACCTAAAAAATTCAAAAAACCGCTTCAGTAAGGCAGTGAAATCAGCGCGCTATACTAGACAAAGCTACCACCACATATAATGTCAAACTTAAAAGGAAAACTTCCAGTAAAAAAGAAAAACAGAAACTATGTTTGACTTTAACATAGACTAGTCACAACTGACAGATGTTTCCTTTGTCTACTGGAAAAGTCGTAGAGCATAACCTTCCTGGTATCCAGGGTCCAAGTGATGCATCTCTGCTGTCAAGTAGCTGCCTCAAACACGAACTTGCACCGCATGATGCGGCATCTCTGTGAAGAAACTCAACGTTAGTATGAATTAAACATCAAATGCATCAAGACATCATTGGAAACGCCTCAACTATCTGCTACGGGAATGAAACTAAGGGTTATGACAGGACGGACCTGAAAGGTGCGGTGCAAATTCCCATAAGCGCTGGATGATCATCTTTGTAAGAGAAAGGGTCAGGTAACGCTTGAAAAGCTCTCAAAGTTCGTATTGTGAAAAGATTGACTGCAGGTTTAAGTGCAGCAGGTGCTTGTTGCAACGCAGAAGAAGTCAAGTAGGCCAGTGCTCTGAAATCATTATATTAAAATACAAGATTAATCACCACTTCAGAAAGTTGCAGGGATCAACAGCTAGAAATTTTAACGTGGTCCTTACTGAGACCACAGGGATGAACAATAATTCTAGAGCGGACACCTTCCCACTACATCATAGAAAGGATCTTCCATAAAACTTCCACCAAATGGTCTCCTCGTTCGGCAGGCTTTAAAATATAAATACATCTTCGTCACTTAGCTCAACAAGCGAATTTCAAACTTAACCATTACATGGATTGAAACGTACCCGCTAAGGTAGCCGATAATAGGCTGAAGTAAAATTCCTTCTTCGGTAACAGACATATTGGGAAACACAAAACTCTTCACAAACGCAGCGAGAGCCTCCACTGCCGCTGACCAACCACTGCATACACTCCAGTCAGCCAACGCATGCTTCTGATCTAAAAGACGACTTCATGTAATGAATTGACTTGCATTCATGTCCAACATATGGATTGAAAGAGTATGCCTTCTTGCCAGACAAATCCTTGAAGACCTTTCAGTAATCACAGTAAGAAAGGGTCGAACATCATGCTGTAATTTACTTGCTCAAGTCCGAAGGACGATATGGATACGAAGTTAAACGAAGACCAATACGAAAAATCCCCAAGTGATTCCAGCATGTTTAAACATACCTCAGGTGCACTCCAAGCATGCTTTCAGCTTTCTTCAGGTGATCTTCGACGTTACCTCCGAATTCATTGGACCATAGGACCAATATTTCCAGCTTCCGCTCCTCCAATTCCTGCTTGAAGAGACAAAGGTGACTATTTGCAACTAAAAACGGACGTAACAACAGGTATACGGTTCTTACGAAGGATGGAGGCATCGTAAGGATGAATCATACAACGTAACTACTTTACTCTATAGTGGTAGTATACCTCCTTCGGCATCGATGAGAGTATGGAGGCAATAAGCATCCAGCCAGCTTCCTTCTCCGCACCCATGGACGACGGATTTCCATTGTCCTGAGATACCATCAACTTTGCCACATCCCATACAGACTGTGGGAGCCTATATACACCAGCACATACGACCAAGATTAAACGGATCCCGAATTTCTTTTAAAAAGCTAGCTTTTAAGATATGTACCTATAATTATCGTACCATTTCAACTTCAATTAGTTTGCCTTAGTTTCGACAGATGAGTTGGCAACACGGGCTTCCGAGCAATGCTTTTATAGCCGTAGAAAAGTCTGAAAATACTTCGACTCTGAGCCAGGATACAATTGGTCTTCGTACCATGCTTCAGTCCATAGCTTACTACAACACTTATCAGACTTGTCTAAGAAGGCCAGATCCCATGCATTCACACAGTCTAAGTGTAACACCGAATTTGATTGAAGCCTTCTTTGAGAGACCTCTACATTCAACATAACACGATCCATCGTATGAGAACTCTACATACCATAACTTCAAGCGCAAGGTAAAACCACTCCTTGGCACGCATATCATCACTGCCATAAACCTCAAGGGTTGGCTGTTCAGCCTCTCGAATGTGATCACACTAAGAGTGTCCACATTGACTAGTCTCAGAAACACATACTAAAGAGCAAAAGGAAAAACCCGACTTTCATTTGGGAAGAGAAAGTGTTTTGAGTGGTCACATCATCACTAATTGTGTTTAAATAATCACTTTCAGTGAAAAAATTACCTTGAGGGAACACCAAGGACCAGCTTTGGAACTGCAGTAATAAGTGCAGCTAGCATGGCTGCTTGTCCATGCAGCGAATCCAATTCAAGCTTCAGCCGATCACCCTGCAGCAGCTCCCGACAATAGAAATGTCTGATTGTCCCTACATTCAAGTGCCACACATCCAATTGGGGCACCAAAAAGCACCATCTATTCTCCTCTATATTCTCAGTACTACAACAAAACGCTTATGGAGAGATAATCTGTTACAAGTGGACTATGAGCATATTTCTTATTTAATGAACCTTCTTGGTTTTACATCTCAGACCCTGCATCTGTATGGGTAACTCATCGATTACAAAGTGGTGAATCGTCAGAAAAGACATTGATCTAAGCAGACTCCGTTTCTGAACATGTACGCTTTAAATTAATTAAGACGTGGAGAGGATGAGGTTCTTGCAAACAATGTTCCATGATTTTATAAATACTTTGGTCGTAAAGTCCGGTCTTGTATCATGGACATACCTTCTCAACGGAAACTGTTTCACGTAGTGCTCGTAGAGTTGTCAGCCCACACGACAAAAGATTATTAGCACTGCTTGCATCCACTTCGGCGAGTGCCCGGAGTGCTAGAGCTGCTTCTACTCGGACCTGCAAATTGAACCGCAGAATTCAACTTCATGAGGATGTCGGCAGTAAAGTATGGGTAGCGTTACATATTCTCTTACCTACAAAATAAGTTCTTGAGACGTAATAACAATCCTTGCTTCTTCGAGCTGTATACAGTCATGCGGGAGATGTGCTGTCTAGTTTACACCAATATGCAAAGAGTGACTGCGGGTAATATGCAGTGCGGCAATCAATGATGGATGAAATTCTGCATATACAGCAGAAAGATCACATATAGAAGAGATGAGAGTATTCATCGAGAGCCAGACTGTTTAATAAACATACCGCCATTGAAGAGTTGGAAAGCATGCCAACCAAAGAGTTATCTAGAGTCTCGCGACTGGCAACGGAAACCTGAAAACAGTCGAAACACGTTCGCATAAGTCTAGACTCATAAAGGGCTCACAGAAGGTTTCCATTTCAAAAAAATTGATCAAATAGTCTGTTACTGTTGGCACCGTGGGATCTATGTTCAGGCTTTGCATAACAGTTGACTACTAATTATACAAATTGCAATGTAGTTGTTTTAAGTCTCTCTTCTCATTTTTCCAGTCACACTAGAGTGCATTAAAATTTAAACCGGAATTGCTTCAAAACATACGGCAACAGGCAAAGAGCCAATGCCGCCGTGTTTTCCTCACCTCTCCTAGCGTAGACAAAAGATGTGCCAGCGACCTCAAAATGACCACGAGCATTCCGGAGTTTATCTCAGGTGTAGACAGCTGTGCAAGAGTACAGCACATGACAGATGTAGAATTTTTGAGTAACAAGTGAGAATTACTTATATTGCGTAATGGAAGGATCGACCCAACGTTGCTCTTTCAGTCTCAGGCCCGTAAAGTGAGAAATGTAAAAAGCAGACAGAATAGCAATCAAGAAGCTCCTCCAGGTACAGATGAAACGATCCCGTACAGTTGGAAACCAAGAACACGTGAAAGAATCGAGGATGAGGCAGTCACTAACCTGCTTGATGAGGTGATCTGTCAAGCCTTTCTGTGCTGGTTCTCCCATTTGTTCAATTATTCCAACTCGAAGACAGAATAATACACAAGCCTGCGTCCAACCGACGACGACCCACACATTGTAAGAAACCTTCGTAAACAACCAGGGGGTTAAGTAGGATAAGGAAATGAACCAGATGAGAAACTTTTCGAGTGAAATTATCCGCCGGGTTGAAGGAGTATTTGGACCAAACGTAGCCTGGATTATCAGAAGACGAGTGCTTCTTCTGACTCAAGATAAAGATACTCAATGATGTCAAACGTTCTACCTACGGGCATTTGCACACAAATTTTGATAGTGACCCGCACTAGAGACAAGCGTCACTAGTGCGGAAATAACTCGTGATGTGGTAGATGCATGCTTGACAAGGGCATCAAGTCCTAATTCATCGATCCACTTTGATACTGCAAAATCATGTGAAGAGGAAACCGACGAGAGAATAGATATCTGTGTGTTTCAGCTCTCATGACACTTAAGTTTCGGGCCACCATAAAGGTTTCTTGTACCTGCGCATGGGTGTCTGAACTGAGAGTAAGCATTTTGATTGCCTCCATTGCGAATTCCTGAAGCTCAACATCATTGTGCATGTAATTCAAGCGCATACCCTGCAGTTACATGATGACAGTAAATATAGACAGTAAATAGCAAATGTGTGCAGGAAAGATCTATGTAATCTGTAGAAACTGCAGATTCTAGGCTCGCCGGGCAGACTAAGGAGACAAACCGAGACAAACCGCAAACCGCAAGAAAGTGATGAACAACGTCGACTGCAGAAACAAGTGCACTAATTTACGACCAACGACAAACCAGACCAAAACAAAAATGTAAATCGATGGTACCTGCAGAAAGGCCACCCAGGCCATAGTAAGACCAACTCGTATTTCTTTGTAGTTTTGACCTGATGCTGTGGAATTGAGATCCAAGAATTGAGAACAATATCACGATATTGCATTCACAAGGTGATATATGCCTTAAAAACACCTTTAACCTACGGATTCAGAAGAGGGTTATAGGCTGTAGTCCTAATTCTGGACTACTTTAGCTGGCGTCTTTGAGTAAGAATCAATCACTTAACCGATAGATGCTTCATGAGCAACATACCTTTCACAAAGGGGGTTACCAAATGCTTCTGCACCCCTCCATCTATTGTTTTCAACGGAGGAGATGGGCCTCGACCCTTTGGCTGAGCCTGCGAGCGCCGCAAGATGTTCAGTATCCAACTTAACGATTAAAAAAACTTAAAAGCTATGCCCCTGTGCGAAGGATGACCAAAAAGTAAGAAAAAATTATTCAATAATAGTCGGCACATAGTCTTTCGTTCTCAAAATGAGGGCCGGATGAACACTTCAAAAAATTATGCAAATAAAAATAAAAAATCTCACAAAAGAAAAAGAGACGCACAGAAAGACATATTCCAGGACATAAAAGCTCGATGCTGATAAGCCTAACTTACTAGTCTTGAAGAAGCTTGGGGCTAGCCTCAAAGGGTACTATAATGCTAGCACTTGATTTAAAGTAGTGTTCAACCATAGAGACGAAGCCACGTGACGAGGACGTAAGAAGCATACAGATGGTCAAGAACTTAAAGCAGAAAAGGACACGGAATTTACAATGCATGCACGTAAAGTAGACGAAAGTACTCATGTGGATACAAGAGCCAGACATGCAAAGAAGTCCCTCTTATATCCACCACGGTGGCAGCTGATTCAGCAACATTGCCTATTCTATCCTCGGATTTTCAGTTCATGATATAAGTAAGTCTGTGTTACTACCAGTATATTAACTTTTTGTTTCAATCCGCACATTACAAAGGTCTACCACTCTATGATCACTAGACTTCCACTAGTTTAAAGCTAGAATAAGCAGGCAGTTGATTTTACCTTCAGAAAGCTATTCTGCTCACTGAAGCTGAAGGAAACAAGAAAACGTCAAAGGCGAAACGAAAGTCTTAAAAGTATTAGTAGTTTTAGTATAAAGTATTACCTGTGATTGAGGATTGAGGCCTAGAGCGAGCAAAGCACCAAGAGCTGCTGCAAATCCGTCTCTGACAGGCTGGGCAGAGTCCTCTAATGCCTGGCATGCCCCAAAGACTTTTAGAACGCATGAAATGAAAGCACAAACTTTTCATCAAACTACAAAACTTTGCAGTAATTGTTTTGCCAAGATTTCGCTTTCATTCTGCTGTTCAGCTCAAAATTCTTGGATAAGCAAATACTACGGGATATCTGATCTACTATTCCCATATGGTGAACTCGGAACTGACGAACAATGTGGGCAAAAAAGGTCTAGCAACGACACCACACGTGTCATACCTTCAAGCAAACTGTCGCACAATTCTCGAGGCCCCCAACACCTAACCCTTGTCCTCCTGCAACTGCAAATGCTCGTAGACAGCCCGCTGCTGCAGCTCTCACAACAGCAGACTTGTCTGTTGCTCCGAGCTTCATAATTATCCTCAGTGCTTCTGTATAGGCAGTGACTGCTCCCCCGCCACCCGAGCCTTCCAGAGCATCCTGTAACAACTCAAGGGCCGCTTGACGTACACCAACCTGAAAAAGGAGGAAACCTCGTTGGTCTTTTACCAGCAATTCATCCGGGGTGTGCTGGTCGTAGGAGCTATGTGAAAGGAGCACAAGTCGGAACCTAGTATGCGCCCTTGGGATCATCAAGATTGTGAGAGTCGAGAACTGATAAAGTGGAAAATAAGTACGGAGCACAATACCTCCGAATATCTCATCAGCTTAGCGACAATGCTGCTGGTCTCCACTAAACCTGAAGAGATCCTTTGGCCAAATGCTCTCAAAAGCGCTCCCAAACACTGCGCAACTCCTGCGTGAGCCACAGACGATCACCACTGACTCAGCATGCAGTATAGTCGTTGCAAAGTATAATATCGGATAGGAACGCTGCACTTTGTTAAGATTATATTGCTTGTTTTTATTGTTTTATTACGACAACATCGATCGCATCCACTTGGTCTCTCGACGAAGAGAAGCAAATAATCTACTGCGAGATCAACTATTGAATACATGAAGAACGGAATTGGTACAATTCTATGTGCAAGTTGAAGCTGACATTAACGACTTGAGGCACAGATATCGCGGTGGCGAGATAAGCACGAATGACAATGACACAGATACAATACCATACATTCTACAATTGCATCAAAATTCAAACTTGAGCAGATCTGTAAAAGGCTCTGAAGAGAACGAAAGATAAAGTTGGATGCTCAACCCTATGCGAAGCTGAGAATTAAGCATCCAACTTAATCCTGAGTATTGAGCGCCTGTTTGAGAAGCTAACAGGTGTCCTTTGTTACAAACACACCAAAAGTTGAACAACTCAAAGAGTTTACGGTGACATCACGTCATCCGTGCTGATCTAAGACAAGACATAGTGTCTTCTAATATATGAAGTAATATGTTCGCAGAAGAGATATAAGAATTCAGTTTCAAAGACATGGGGAATAACCTGCAATATTCAAAACGGAAACTTCCTTCCGAGCAAAGAACCTGAGGAACCATAAGGGTTTGAGTTGTTACCTATGCATGACGCAGGCTCTGATTTTTTGTCCATTTTGTCGGATAACCAGCCTTGAAGACTCCCGGCCCGAGAGTAAATGGAAATGTTATCTCCTTTTTCTATCAGACTAACCATTGCAGTGGAGGCAAGACGCCTCACTGGTGGACGGACACCAAGTACTAACAAAGCCTGTAGCGCATCCTCACACTTTCTTTGACAGCGTAGGATAGAATCCTGCACGAGAGGTAAGCGATTGTAGTGTGTAAGATTGTCGTCACTTTCCTCACCCAATAGTGATCACTGCTCTCATTCTTTCAAGCCCACGTTACAGAGAAATTTATTTTAGAACAAAAACTAGATAATGGGGATACGAAGCTAAAGTGAATATATTGTATTTTATGGGAGTTTGATATACTGGTACTTTAAGAATTCTAGCTACCAACAAACGGGATAGGTCAAGTGCATCTTGCTATTATAACACTACTTGCACAGAACAAGAAGTCCTGAAGAAAACTTTGGTTCTTATGTAAAGACTTGGGCTTCACCGATGTTTTCTAACGACAACTTAAAAACAACAGCAAAGTTACTGACCAAATTCGGGAGCTAATGGAAAGCAGATATGCTTCCAAAGAGCCAACATAAACTTTTTTAACACAGCATTATACTGGCAACAAGCTCCAAGTGAGCCGCAAAACCAGGTGATTAACGAGTAAATTGCGTCGTTAGTAATAACCACTTGACCTACTTAACTTCATGTAAAGTTCAGCTAGAGAGTTATGAGGTGTTCATCACAGAAGTACAATCAAGTCTGTTCTTCATTTCCTACAAATTAGAGTATGGCTAGTGCAATGTACCTATTACTCGATCTCCTAAAGCCATAAATTGGCAGCAAAATACAATGTGAGCATTCGTTCGGCACTGAGAACGAATGCTCACATCGATCTTTTCAGTAATGAGCTCGATCATCGGAGAATTTGGTGGGCATAAAAGCCCACCTTACCACCTGATTGGGAAGCGCTCATAATAGTGCCATTACACCTCACTATCGTGATAGGCCAGCAAATGATAGCGTTCATCAACCAAAGATAAACACTATCGTTATCAACTTACTGCCCTGTCGTATCGCCTGCGAGAACTGCTGGCAAAACTGTGGTTTACTTCTAGAGATATCACTGTACATTACACCTAGCTCGTTCAATTTCCAAATTCAAAATGGAGAAATATTCTACAAAATTCAAATTTTTTCACCCTCGCTTACAAACTTCTCCGGGCATTTCAAAAGCCGCTCATTGTTACAGCCGATGGCTACAGATTCTAGTCTCATGATTAAAGAATTCTGGTCCAGGTCAAGGGTGAACGCCAGGGTACCTTCGGTTCCTGATCAATGGTAGAGAGGAGATCGACCAGAAGATCAAAGCATATCAGAGGTTCTGGCAGCTTATGGGCTGCGGCAGCTACAATCGACTCGAGCTGCGCCACTATAATATTGAGCTTCGACAATTTGCTGGCTTCCGCCATCTCTGGCCCTCCTGGCAACCTCAATCGAGCCGACCGGGAGGCGATCGACGCACCGATCAGTCGAAATTAGCACGAGTTCCCCTCACTCCTTCTTCGCGCACTCGTCGCAGAGGGGCAATCGCGCTCATCAGATCCAATGGCACGGCAATCCAATTCGAACAGAGAACCGATCCAGATCATGAAACTTTCGCAGTTTTTGAACCCACCCGCCCGCCCCCCCGCGAATCAATCGATGCGGGATTGATGGTGCACGGCAAGGCGTGAAGCTTTCATCTGGCGCTGCGGGGCGATGTCGATCCGCCGAGATGGAGGAGCGCTCACAAGAGGATCGAGCGGACAGGACACGACAGACATTGCTCTCGTCTCGCCGGAGTCATCACATTCACAGGCGCCCGAAGCGCGAGAGGGCCAGCGAGAGAGAGGGAGAGGAACGAAGGAAGGAAGGAGCGAAGCCCGAAGCCCGAAACCCGACGACGAAGGCCAGAGAAGCTCTCAACCGGCATCCCCTGCCTTCCCTCCTTCACCCACTAAGCTGCGCTCGATCGATCCGAGCCGCAGTTTCTCCCGCATCCGACGGCCGAGAGGCAAGATTCTTTTTCCGCAGCCCTGGCATGCAGCACCTCCGAACGTTTCCGTCCCGGTTCTCGCGGTCTCCGTCCGCCCTCTCTGTGACTCTCTGGATGGAATTCCCCGCCCTTTTATGAAAAGGATGATTCTCTCTTCGGCCGCACTTTCGGGCGTTTTTGCTCGTCGAGCCATCCGTTCTTTCGTTTGGACTCCAAGACCTTCCGACCCTCGAGGACATGAGCGCGTGACGAGGGAGCGAGTTTGGTGGCATCTCTCTATCTTCGGGAGTGTCGTCAATTCAGACGAGGTAGAGTTGATTGTGCAGGCTCGGCTCTTAAAACCTATCTCAGGCCGCGAGACTCAGCGGACTGTGTAATACCTGCACTTTGCCTACATTGCAAAATCGACAAGTATCAAAATCGGATTCTGACCACAACTGTGTCTACGAGGCAACCTCTTGTGCATATAGACTGTAAATTTCCTTCTGGCGAATTCTGTGTTCAATCCTTTGTGTCTTATGGTGCCGAAATTTTGACTTTTCTGTGTTAAACGAATTAGCTGACACTATCGTTGAATGAAGTAAATAACTGAGATAGTCATGAGAAGGCTGTGTAATTTGGTTCATGGATTTCGGATTTCGGATCAGAGAGTATGTTTTAATGTGTAAATGATGACTTTTGCACGTCACGAGTAATGTGCGAGATGCAAGCGTGTCCTGCGAAGTCGGTGTGAACTGATTCACAGGATCCCCTGGCAGACAAGGTGCGAGATTAGCGGCCGTATTATTAACTGCAATCTTGCAATTAAATGGTCATGGATTTCAATTAGGAGTGGTTTATGGGTGTAGCAGCTCTTTGTTGAAACAGGAATTCCGGGTTGAGAAAAATGATGGGTCCCAAAGCAAAGGAAATAGCGAGCGGAGGACGATTTGGATTGTCCGGGATAGGACCAGATGTTATGCGCGTTTTCAATCGGGCTCTAGAACTTGTGAGCAGCAATTCTGTGGATAGTGAAAACGAACTCTTGGATCTGGTGAAGCGGGCGAAACGGGAGACAGAAAAGGAACCTTTTAACCTGCCGAAGAAGTCTCGCCCAGGTATGGCTCTGTTCGATCAGACCAAATGGCTTCTCATCAGACATTTGCGGCTAGGCGAAGGCTTTATGCATCTAAACAGGGGTTTTGCAAATTGAGAGAGAAAGAATGAAAATATAGATTTTCAGTGTAATTTTAGCGTCATTGATGGTTCCATTTCTCCACTACTGCATTTTGTGATTCTATATGTTTTTTTGAAAATTGACGCCCGGTAACTGTTATCAGTCTTTTGTTTTACAAAGAATTTAGCAGCTGCTGATTGTCCAAACATGTTGATTACTACCGTACAACCTGTATGTGGAAGACATTAGAGTTGCTATCCACGCTTCAGCAGCACTGATTTAGTATTCAATGTTAGTTATAACTTTTGACGAACCAGACAAGTCTGCTGTGAAACTGCTGTGCGTTCTCCTCGTTTCAAGCTGCCTTGCTCTAGCTGTATCTGGTTCAAACGGAGCTAGAGATATGCCCAGTTTTCTGTAGTGAACATTCAATACCCTAATTGTTCACATTTGCAAGTTAATAGCTGAACGTTGTCAGAATACTCATCGCAGTCGTTGTCTCAAGGATAAGACAGGACTATACTATTACCGTCACAGAAATTAACTTCCGCTTTCACCTAAGTTCTGAGGTTGAGACGAAGTGCAGCAGCTTTGTTCGTGACAGTTCCACAGTATAAATGCAGCACTTTGTTTAAGTCTAACGGTCAGTTCTGTGCATTTAAACACATGAGGAGTGGAGGAGTAAGATCTGCAGTCTCCCCTGACTGCGGTAGTCTGGTAGATGTTACTGTGTAACAATGATCGAATTGGTTTCACTTCCCATCGAATTTCTCGGGTTGGCAGTTTTGAAATGTGATTGTAAATTTTTTGCTACCTGTTGGTTCAGTTCGTTTTCGAACCTGATCCTGTCTTATTTCTTCATTCAACGTTAACCCTACCCTCATAACTTCAATGAGCGTTCTAATTTTGTCGTCTTAAGAATGTGTAGAATCCAGCCTCGATGTTTGCAATTCTTGTGAAGTATATTATAAGGATTTAATTGTGCCGTCTTAAGAATGTGTAGAATCCAGCCTCGATGTTTGCAATTCTTGTGAAGTATATTATAAGGATTTAATTGTGCCGTGTTGACATCTGCAAGTATTTGATCGTGGATGAGATGTCAGAGATTAAGTGCAAACTTTCTTCATCTGCTTCCATTTTCGAGTGCATTGAAGGGGCGCAGTATCCGCAGACATTTAACATTTCAATGATGTCACTTTTTTTTTAGCAGGTAGGGGCCCAGAAACATCAGAGCTGCAGGCCTTAGGAACACACAGAGTAGCAGCAGGTCCGTCAGCTGATCATGTAAGTACCTCATTTGATCTCGTTCACTCTTTTCCCGTCACATGATACTATCGAAGAACTGGATGTGGATTTCTTGTTCCCTTTATCCAGGAGACAGAAGTGGAGATAGATTTTTGGGTTTTCGTGTCAATGCTTTGAGTATCTTGCCTCAATGAGATTCTCTCATTGATGCAAAGTGAGTTCGAGATGTCACTTTTCATGAAAGTTGGTCCATTTAATCCTGTTGTGCAGGCCACCGGCCAACAAGCAGCTGCTGGCGCCGATGGTAGTTCTACTGCTACTGCCACAGGGAATGCAAACATGACGCAAGCCCAAACACGCCTTATGAATGTCATTCGAGGTGGCCCAGGGCGGGGTCGCATAGAGAAACCGAAGCGCAAAGTGACTCGCTGAACTCTGATGGAACTGCAACCAAGCTATGTGGACTGAAGAGGATGCGTTAGGACAAGCTGGATCGAGGGATGGGTAATAACGGTCACTGAAGCTTTTTGACCATCTTCTCGTTCAGTTCAGGAGAGTCCAGTTGAGCAAGATTGGGGGCCGGACGGGTAACTTTTGGAGTTTGTGGCAAAAGTTGATTCCGAGTGCATCTGGGGTTCGTGCAGGAAGAAATTTTCCGGTCAAGGTTCCATATCTGGAGTACATAAGGCTCTTATGGTCTCTTGATCTGTAGCCAAGTAACTAACTACACGTCTTACCCATGCATTTGCATGTAAGCCTCTGTCTTCTGTGGCACCTTCGGATGAAAGAAGAGATATGAAGGGAGAATGAGATCATTGTCGGGCAACTGAATACTTTCAATTTTAATTTAACGGAATCAACCATATTAATGACTGGACGAGAGCGGCCGGAAATATCAGTGAAGTATCCAAAGGCTAATCTAGTTCAACTCTCACGAGTATGCTCGTGGATTCATGATACCTGTACCCGGGCAATTTCTTAAATGGAGGCTATTTTAGTGACGAGATAGCTTTCTGAGGCTTTGGATTGATGTATATAAATGTTTTTCACTTTTCTGGCTCTTTGTGAAGACAAAGAGAAGAATCGACGAGACGGAACACGTACAAGGAGCAATAAAGAATTCTCAGACGGAAAGGATATCGCGCACCTGTAACCATCGCATGTATTCGTTTGAGAACAATGGAAGCCTTTGCCTCGCACATAGATATGCCTCCTTTCTCTTCATTCTCGCAAACTCGGGCAACTTGTTTGTAAGTGTCCTTGACAATCTCCTCATGTTTTTATAAGAGTTTTTCACAGAAAGGTGCGCCGTGCCCGTGCTGTCGAAAAAAAGGTTAAAATATCACGCAGACAAGTACTCTCATACAGGTCGACCACAACATTGCTCCCTGCCTGGCACGTTTTCGGTCACATGATGGAGTGGAGGTGGAAAAACCAAACATTCACTCCGTGTTCACAATCGATGCCAATACTTACCTGTACCTTCGAGGCATGTACTGTACTCGGGACTGTACCTCATATAAGCGAGGCCTTCCCTCGCAGGTCGGTCCACCTGGTTTACGTTACTCGCTGGATTCGTGCCCTGTTGGTTCTTAGTTCTGCCAGGGCCGCATGGCCTTTTCTGGGGTGGAAAATAGTACAGAGCCAAGGACGCCATGTACCGAAATAGCGAGCTGGGGATCACTGGTCAAGCGACCGGACAAATTAGTCGTTCGTTGAGCAGTTGTTTGGTCGGACAGGGAGGATGTGCGCCCTGGGGACGTAACCGGGCGTAGGAGGGCGGCTGCGCTTACACATGCGGAGCGCTGGAACGTGTGGTACGGGAAGCGAGAAATCACGTTTAGCAGAGAGGGACCATGTTGCCGAAGATCTCTTGTCTCGAACTCGCTATCTAAGGAGCCGGTGATGATTGTGGAAGGCGAATCAAATCAGGTTCCGGGCACGGGAAAGATATGACAAATCACAAATTCCACTCGTCAGAAACGCCCGTTGTCTTCTCGAGCACATGATTCTCTCGTGAAAGTGCGAAGTGCGAGAGAATGGACGTCGAACAGAACACTGAATGCTGCGGAACAGTGGCCGGTGCGTAAGTCAGAGCGGAAAGGAGCTCGGCAGGACAGAGAGTGGGGTCCTCATATCATTAAGAATGATGGGGATCTGAACAAAGCAGCTCGTCGTTAGACGGACATCCTGAAGGACAAGTCAAAAACTGGTGGGAGAAACCGGCCAAGAGTGGTTGCTTTATCCTCTCAGAATGCCGACCCGAATACGTAGCTCGTCCAAAAAGTGGCACCGAAAGTAGCAAGCCACAGGGCCTTCAGTGGCCGAGAGATCGTCCATTGATGATTGCCGCTTAAAGTGAGCCAAACTGCACCAGCATGAATGTGCAGATCTTTTAACGAATCGGCTGACCAACGGTAGGTAAGAAAGCTCGCAGTACATGCCGGATTTACTGTGTCCGTTTTGGAAGCTAGCCTCGCTTCCGTTTGTACGTAACCCGTCCAGGTTTTGGTTACGACATCTGTAACGTAGGTCCGAAGCTGCAGACGAGTTTGACCTGCGAGTGCCCATCCCTTGAATTTCCACAAGTATGCAACGAACAAAGCTTGCGCAACAGAATTTGGCAGCGCGATGAAGTCCGAAACTACCTCTCCTGCTGATTCGCCACGCAAGGCTTTGAGATCTCCCCGGAGATGCTACCGCCGAGCAGTCTAGTCTACAGCGGGGATGTGTTTTTCAAGAGGATAAGGCAGGCACAGGCTTTCGGGTGCACATTTCTGCGCCTAGGCAGACGAAAAGGGGCCGAGAGGCGATTGCAGTCATCGATCGCGGATATGGAAGGACTGACTGCAAAAGCCTGGTCACTCGAAATCTCGCCTATTATGCTCGTCCTGGACCCGGACCCGGACGAGGGCCAAAGGAGCAACATAGGGTTCATATGAAGCTCCTGAAGCGAGGAGGAGTTGCGGAAAGCAGCCAAACGTCGTGCAGTGCCGCAGCGGCAGTTGACATATTCGCTCGGCCAGCTAGCCTACGTCTATAGTGGGGATGTCCAAGCAACTCCGACCTCCATCAGATGCACAAATCCATATCTTCTTCTGATTTGTCCGTCCCCCCGGGGTCATGCTGACGATCCAGGGGCCAATTTCCGCTCCATAACTTACGGGCGCACTTGTCCTATCGATGATCGCCAAGTGACCTCACGCATCGCTGCTGCAGCTCTCTCTCCGCCATCGTTCCGTTCTCTGCTTCTTCTCTCCATCTCTCCTCTCTCTTTCTCGCCCTCCCCTCTCCGTCTCGTCGTAGAGAGGGGGTGGCCGGGGTGGGGCAGGGCCTGGCCTTCGATGGATGTTCTGTACTACACTTTGATTCTCCAGCTCCATAGCCAGCAGTCGCCAAAAGTCATGCGGACTGATTGGATTAGCCTGTTCTGGAGCCGAATATCAAAAGCTTTCCTCAGGTCCCTTCTGCCCCCCCCTCCGAGCGAGGCCCCCCGACCAGGTCAGAGGAACTCGACCGCCGGCCCCACCCGCGCGACCATGTGACTCACTGACTGTGGCTCGCTCTGTGCTCCATCACCCGGCCCGGCCCAGCCCGACCCGACCCGCGAGCGAGCGACGGCCCGTCCTCCTTACATGGGCTCTCTTCCTCTCCTCTCCTCTCGTCTCCTCTCCACCCTGTTACGCTTTGGGCTGCTCCACGTTGGCCTCGGCACGTGGACCGGCCTCCCGCGGCCTTCCGCTCGAGGCCTGGCGATGTTTACCGGCTTACCGTTCCGTCCCCGCGACCCCGTTCGCCCCGTGCCTCGCCTCGCCTCCTTTTCACCGGGCCGTCTCAATCTCCTACTGCCCTTGTCATCGGTACACTGGAAACTACCCTTTCTCAGATCAATACAGTACCAATCTCTATCGGTTACCCTTCTGTAATTGATCCGGGTTAACATAATTAATACTAGTATTGAAAGCAACAAATTTGTATGTACCCCCTTCTTGCACGAATGAACCACGAGGCTAGTCCAGTAGCCTCCCAATGTGAAACATGTCCTATTGCACATGGGTGTTCAAAATTGTCAAAAACTGGTATTGTTGCGGAGGTTTTATAAACATGTAACAACCTGGAATATGGAGGTCATTTTGATCATATCCTCTCGTCATATGGTAGGTTTAAGAGATAAGTGGATCTATACCAATCTATAAAAAATATAATTAGGCCTACTCTATAGCACTCGTTTTAATGCCCCAACTGTAATCCATATCATTTCCCCTGTCACGACTAACGCAATCACCTAGATCAACTCAGGGACATCGTTTGAGTGATCATGAAAGCAATGTCTAACCTCTGTACCACCTTTATTAAGCCCTTGACATATCCTTGAGTTGTGCAAAGAGAATGGTGTAAAATATATAAATCAAACCATAATGAAAGCTCTAGCTTGATACAAGAAATCAAATAGTATCATATCTTATTTTACATTAGACATAGTATATAAAAAAAAATGTACATCAAAACATATAGGATGGAAAAAATATCTTCGTTTGAAATTTTACTATTGAAAGTGCTATTTTGATTTTGGTTCTCAGAAATCTAGCATGAAAGAGATAATAAATTAAAATTGCATGAAGAAAAATAAATATGAAATCAAGTAGCAATATCTTAAAAACATTAAATACACAATAAAATAATTCAAATATGTAAATTTATAAATCAATTGATTAACATATTACATGCTCACTTTTTAAAATTTATTGATCTTCTACATAATAATTTCAATCGTGTTTTATAAAGAAATGAATACGTAAAAATTGAAAAAATATTATAAATAGAAATGATGATACCTAAATTCAAAAAATTTGGTAAATTTAAATAATTTCTTTGCATCACAAATTAATAACCTCAAAATCAATTAATAAATTATCATTTAGTTTTTGATTATGTGTGAAATAAAAATTTATAAAGAAGAAAAAAATCTTAATATCGAAACAATAATGATTATAAAAACTAAATTAGTCATAAAAAATTGTTAATCATCTTGATTCAAAATTATTGCTCATGATAAAATCAAAGAAGACCAATATTTTTTTAAAAAAATTCTATTTGTTCAATTGATGATCACAACACCAAAACTTTTGATCAAATAAAGATAATTTTTTAGCCCAATTTGATTTGAAGTATTCAAAAAATATTAGTCTTGCAAATAATGTTTGCATATTAGATTACCATATTATAAAATCACTTTTAAATTAAATCTCTATATGATTTAATTACATTTGACATCTAAAATATGAACAGTTTGATGAAGCAGAAATTCAAATAAGACGAGTAGTCTTTGCATAACCGCGGAATGTATTTTCAAATAAATCAAGATATACATATATCTATTATTGACAAAGGAATAGAAAAAATGAACACCCTTTAGCACACAAAAACAAATTGAAGTTGAATACATGTATAACTTTGATATTTCAGAATTGACACAAACATCAATCAAAAAAATTATTATAAATTAACGGTGGAAGATTTAGCAATCGTTTCTTTTCTTGCTTAAGCTTTTATTAGAATAGATCAACCAGTTTTCAATCTGATTGCCATATTTTATACAGAGGTGTTGATAAATGAATAAATAAAAATTATATTTGTATGTTAAATAATATATATTTAAATTATCAATTCCAAACATGTGAAAATATTTTTTATACAATAATAGTTTTTAATATTTCAATAATATTAGAAAATAGTTATAAAAACACAAATCTGGAAAAAAAAATCGGAGTTCTTGACGTAATGTGATTACTTTTTATTCGATATTATTTATATTATATTTAAAAGATATAGATGTGTTTAAAGTTAAATGTAGAGTTCATACTAATTATACAAAAAACAAATGAAGCGCTAGTTTGCAAGTTTATTGTAACAAAAATATAGCATACTTAATTTAAAATATTTAAAATAGAAATAAACATTACACACACATAAATACTTGTGTTTTTTTATTGAAAATACAGCATTTTCATTTCACCATGTTGAATAAATTTGAAATCTCACTGAAATTCCGCTCAGAGTTTGATTTTTTTAGACTTTTACTTAAAAGAAAAAAAGAGTGTAGAATTGAAATAACTTCATGATTTTTATCAAACCTAATCAATTTTAACATAAATTGGTTAAATAATTTAATTTTTGATATATATTAAATATATTGTATGGAAAGTTCTTTTGGAAAAAATGAAGCAGGTTCACTTACATTTCAAAAATTTGCATAATTTTACATGTTTGTGAACAATATTGTCAAAATGTTTTTTCTTAAAACATAACATTGATATAACTTACAATTCTTATTCAATGAATTATAATCTAATTTTTTTTGAATCTATATATTTGAAAATCCTAACACCATTTTAGAACCATTCATTCACTTCATTATTTTACTTCAAAACAACAAGGACGAGTTATGCTATCTATTTATTTATCACATATGATAACGTTAATATTTTATAAACTGTAAAAAAATCCAAATTTAAAGGAAGACTATATGAATTCACACAACTTTGGAAAGAAACGGGTTTGCATGAAGGTTTATCCTTAGAGCATCAAACATGTATTTAATCTATTTACTTCTAGTAAGACACATCTACATAAATGACTATTATCCTATGGACAAATGTAGATAATATTGTTTAAACAACAATGCATGCATTTTACTTGAAGTAGCTTAGAAGTAAGCTATTTACAGTGCTATATCTTCTTAAATCTTTACAATCTGTATGGTACAATAGTATGATAGACACTTGGTGCAAGTCTCCCATAGTAATATGAAAGTGGGTGTCCATAGCTTCGTATGAGTCAAACTTAAGATAAAAAAAAGTTGAATTTAAAGCACATAGGAGTTTTTCCGATGCTGTTCTACTTGTGATGAAAGAGTATATGTATTTGAGCTAAATATTTCTTTCACTTGTACTGAAAGTAACCACAGAGTTAACCATATTAATGTTGTATTCAGTAAACAAATATTTGCACCAGGTTTACGACAAGACATATAAAGAAACTGCATGTGAGGTATACACCATTGTGTTTCATGGCAAATTTTTGGAATTTGATATTAATATTTATCCAAGCACTACAATGATCTTAAATTCATATAATATTTTCATTTTAATTTCAAAGTGAGAATACAAATAGGGAAAAAACATAGATAGAATTCTCACAACAAATGTACATTCGGGATCATATGCTATATTTAGAAAAACATCAGAAATGGATAATTGGATGACCTGGTTAGATTACAAGAGTGGGATGGTTCGACAAACTCGATACCCATTAAGAGGTTGACCAAGCTCACGTAACTTGCTGCATGGGAGATTACGTTAGATCCGTTTACCTGCAAAAGGGATAAGAGCATGCAGGATGGGATGCAGCAAAAAATCGAGGAAATTAATACACGGAGCATGTTGAAACGAGCCCAATCAGAGAGAACTGTAAAACCAGATTTATTCCGAAGTACTTTTAGAAAGTAAAACATCGGCCACAGACTAATCACACGAGGCATACCCAATAGTTGCTACGTAGGTACACGTGTCATGAGCTCGACCAGTCTAGGAAGGCTGAGGTGGAGGGGTAAAGCATGGGGTGGGAGCTGCAGTCTGTTGTACGCCTAATGGCTCGAGGGAGGCGGCAGACTACTAGAGAGCTGTGGAGATGGCCGTGTCGCCAAAGACGTCGTCGGTGGGGAGAGGTGCCTCGAAGCAGGAGACACGGTCTCGATGGTGGTGGTGGTGGTCAGAGGAGTGAGTGTGTGTCCCACACACTCGCGGGCTCTCATCACCTTTCTTGTCGACGTTGCATCTCGATGCGCCGATTTCCTCCTGCGTGTAAGTAGGAGGAGCTCTATCTAGTCGGCGTCGATAGGCAAACACTCTATCTATCCTTTGTCGATTGGAGCTTCTCCCGTCCTATTCTACATCTCTACGCCTCGACGATCTTGCGTCTAGCTCTGCTTTGGGCTCACTCCCGGGTGGCGAAGAAAGCAGCAATAATTTTCCAACTTGTTGGTCCTTTCTCGAGCACTTTGCTTTTCCGTGAAGACAACTCCCCGACGGTTCAAGTTCCGATGTCAATCTGGGCCAGCATGTATGTCCGCGTTCTAATTATTGACTGGCTAATGGGAATATTTGCGTGAGTAGGTCGCGCATTAGAATGCTTCTCTTTCGTATTCTTTGAGACAATCCCATTAAAAGCGCGTTTGCCCAAACCCCGACCGTCTACGCCTCAAGAAGAAGCAGCGGTTAGTTACCTCGTAGTCAAAGCTTTGGAGTTCGTAAATAAGCCTTTGAGGAGTTGCCACACACCAAGTTCAGGGTGCGGGTCAATCGATATAGATAATTATAATTATATCCTTCGAGTGAGATAATCGTGACGAGCGAGCTTTCCGTTGCGATGTGTCACCGTTATTGCATCTAGTATTGAACTCAACCTCAAAGCGACCTGGTTCGATCGAGGTTGCTGTCAGTTTCGAGGCTGATTGTGCTGTGTGCGTGAACTTTTTGCATGGGGACAATCAACCCATTCCTACCCGTTTCCTGGAACAAAGATGTGATCATGCAGTGCGTTGTATAAAACTTGGACATTGTAAATGTTAGTTGAGTTTCCATGGCCGGTTGTGAAACACACCAATTCAGCAGCAGTGTCCGCTGGCGGTGCTTAAGTACTCGAAAGAATTGCTCGAAGGTAATTCCTTAAGATCGAGCCCACCCTACATGATGTAGAAAGAAAGAAACAAAAATTGTTTGTAAAAGGGGATAACTCAAGAATGTGTGAATTAAATGTATTTTAATAACTTGATTGTGGCAGAAAGAAAAAAACAAATCTTGGGATCCCAATGTACGTTTTTTTCATAACCATTAGTTTCAAACAAAATATGTATGATACTGAGAAATTTGAAAGCTAGAATATTTATTGTATATTGAATAATTTATTGAAGTTAAAATAGAAACTTAACAAATGATTGATAAATTTGTTACATACTGATTATTCAAGTTTAACCTTTAGAGATAATATTAACCAACCAACGCTTTACATAGTAGTTTGATGCGGGAGTTATTACTCTCATAACCTCAAAATAATGTAGTAATGATAATTTGAATACTATATAGATCTAATGTGCTTTGTTAACTTTTTGGGCTTGACGGTATTCCCATCCTATTTTATCCAGTTGGCCCTAATCCTAAGCTTTGGCACGTAGTTGAAGCTGTTCAAAAGGAACATTCGATCGGTAAATTCAAAGGACATAGTCTATGTCCTTTGAATTTATTCTATGTCACATAGAGTATTAAAACATTAAATGCGAAATTCGCACAATTTATACGCCTTGCATACGCTTTATGATGTCTTCGATATACCTTCTTTTCTAAGATACCGGATGAGAACATGGGAGCCGTTCCACCTGGACATGACACTGGATCCTTCGCATATTTACGAGGAGAGTGCGACCTCTGATTCTCACTTATTCGACTCAATGACGATATCTGAAGTTGCGAAGGGGTTCATGACTCTGAACAAAGGTCAACGCATTTAGAACCGAGGGCACCATAATGCGCGCGGACGTTGGACACAAATCCTCGAGCGCGGCCTGCGGTGGACGAATCGGATGGAGCCGCAGGAGATTCCAGCCAATGGACGTTCCGTCACCAGCCGCATATAACCGTGAGCGCGAGACGAACACGTATTCTATCCATTGGCGAACAACGCGCGAGAGCGCACCGACGGACTACAGCTTCCGTCGCTTTGACGTACCGCACATGAACGCACGTCGGTTTCCGGGGGCGTCGATCTTAGAATTCACGTCCCTCGGTCCGCCGGCCGACGGCTTTCGGCGGTGCAGAGCCGCTCGGAATAAAACGCGGTGCCGTGAACCTGCGGAGGCGGGAGGAGGTTCCGACGTACAGCCGGCGGGAGCGTCGTCGGGAAAGCGGAGGCGGCGGAGGAGGAGGAGGACCGGGAGAGCGGACCGAGACCGTGACCGCAGTATAATGAGAATTCAAGTTCGATCCCAGGGGTGAGCGATCGGGACCGTCCGTTCGTCCGTCCGTCCGTCCTGCCGTCCGAGCGAGGGGCTAAGGTGTCTAAGTTGGGCTAGACAAAGGATGGAGCCATAAATGTGAGGCGACGGGAGGGAACAGCATCGGGCGTCTGTCATTTACGCCTGCGCGGCCGCGGACGGTAATTCTAACTTGGGAGTAGCGGGCGGGGTGAAGTTCCCTCCACCCGCCCCCACGCTCTCTCGTTCGCTCGTTCGCTGCCCCTGCCCTGGCCCGCGCTTCCCTGACCTTCCCAGCCCCGTCCCGTCCCGGCCCCGCTCTGCCCTGCCATAGCTCGAGCGCTCGATCGCTTGATCGTTCGTTTGTTGGCCCGGCGTCCCACATCAGCAGCAGGTGCCTCGGCTGCGTCCCCCGTGCCGCTCTCCCGTGGGAGGCCCGAGTGTCCGAGTCGAGTCTAGTCTAGTCCGGTCGATGCCCTAAGCTCGTCCTGTCCTCGCTGCTCGTCCTTGCGCGAGGAGGAGGAGAGCAGAGGGAGGGAACGAGGGAGGGCAGAGGAAAGAGCCAGGAAGAGCAGAGCACACGAGGGAGGAAGGAAGGAAGGGAGGGAGGGAAGGACAGGAGGCCGGGGACGGGACGAGGAGGTGGTGGTGGTGGTGGGGAGAGAAGAGAGAGAGAGAGAGACGAGAGGTGGGAGGGGAGGGGAGGGGAGGGGGAAAGGGAAGGGAAGGGAATAAGCAGAAGAAGAGAGAGAAGGAAGAGAAGGAAGGAAGAGTAGATAGAAGGAGGAGGAGGAGAGGAGATTAGGGATCGATGTGAAGGGGAGGGAAGGGGGTGTCGGAGGGGAGAAAGGAAGGTGGTGGATAGAAGAGAGGAGCAGGAGGAGGAGGAGGAGAAGGTGGACGAGCAGGAAGGCGTTCATGAATGTGTGGAGGAAGAGGGGAGGAGTGGGGAAATTTGTGTACTTCCGTGTAAGGTTGCGGAGGAAATTCGAATTGGATTACCCGGCGACTGCCGCCGTGCGACGGTGTTTTCCGATTGAGGAGGTGGCGGGCCGGTGGGCAGCAGCAGGCAGGCCGACGAGCAGAATTGTAGTAGAGATTGGGTTTTGAGAGAGAGAGAGAGAGAGAGAGAGAGAGAGAGAGAGAGAGAGAGAGAGAGAGAGAGAGAGAGAGAGAGAGAGAGAGAGAGAGAGAGAGAGAGAGAGAGTAGTTTGTTGTTGTTGTTGTTGTGGTGTGTGTGGTGTGGGCTTGAGAGTGAGGGTCAAAACTCGGGACTCTACTGCTCGGGGTGTCAGTGTGTTATCATTGTCTAGATAGTTGTGTTGGAGGTTCTTTCGTGAGGAGGATCGCGACGAGAGCGGAGATGCAGCAGTGTGGCAGGGGCGGTGCGAATTAAGGATTACAACGGACTGAAGGGGATGTCGTGGGCAGGACCCGACACCTTCCCTGCCACTTCGCTCGCGGATAACCTCGACAGTAAGCTCTCTTCCACTTGTCTCGGAATATGAGGATGTCTGGTACCCTCTGGGCTTATATGGAGAACATGGCTAAAAGTCAGATCACCAGCGATCTCGACAGTTTGCTACTGATTTCGTACCCATTTTCGTGGGTGCTCAAGCATATGCAGTCCATGATGTCTGATATATCCTAACGAAGTTCTACCAGCGAGGTTCTACTTACCAGAAGCTCCCTGGCTGTGAAGTATAACAATGATTGGCTGCTGCCCTAGTGGTCAGGTGCAATACCTTGCTAGTTACCCATGAGATCTTATTACCTGCATCATGCAGGTATTAAGATCATCGTACTGGAGATGTTTTGTGTTCGTCACTAGCGAAGGCCGTGCATACGATATTGGAGCCCAAAGGACGCGTAGCTTATTCATGCTGTCGATAACGGGATAGGTGCTTATCATTCAGCCGTTATAGTTTCGCCTGATCCGAGTTCTCACAGATGGGTTTCATTGTATGGACCACTTGTCAGATTGGTACCTCCTGTAAGCAAACGAATGTTTAGTGCTTACTTGAAGTTTACGGGAGCACTAACAGTTGCTTGCCATCAATAGATCACTCGAGCCTACAACTATTGGTAGCGGTAGGTGTAGCAGCAATGTTGCAATGTATGTACCTACGCTGTTCGTGTACCTCATTGTCTTGAACTTAGAGACCGTTTCTCAATTGCCTCATCCCTTGCTCTACGCTATTCTGTTCAATGTATTTCCTGACACAGTCAGTGTCAAGGTTTGATAGTATTTGTGCTGATGGGTAGAAATGTTTCCCGACCTGTCAGTGTATGTAACAGTGGACCAGTTTTTCTTCTCGGAATTTTATAATCTTAGGTCGCTACTAAGTTTGACTTTTTTGAGTAAATTACGTTATCTTGAACGATGACGGGAACAGGGAAGTAAACAAGTGGCATTATCGATTGTCAGAGCTTGGGGTTTTGCTCTGTAAGAGTTCGAGCGATTTAAAGTCTTTACTGAGTATTGTGCGTGGGAATGTTTCTTTACAGAAAAACTCTTGGTGATTCTCCGCGATGGCAGAAAGCTGGTCGGAATCCTCCGATCATTCGACCAGTTTGGTATGTTAACCCACCTTCTCTACAGAATTTTCATGAAATTCATTTGTACAGCCGAGCCGAACGATCAGGAGAACTATAGCCAGCGTGAAAGCAAGCACTTCACTTATTTAACATGAAAAAGGAATGACTTATTTCTGAATATTTTTATCGAGGATTAGCTGGAAATTTGTGGGCCAAGGTGCAACTTAAATAAGATTCTCTAGAAGTGGAGACATGGGAAGGTCTTTTTGCAAGCGAAAGGCTCTTTGTATACAAGTCTGAACAGCTCATAACTTGGACTGGTAGTTTGTACTATACTTATGTTACCTCATGTTTGCTTGGTTCGTGAAATTCAGCAAATGTGGTTTTGGAGCGATCAATCGAACGTATTATTGTTGGAGAGCTATTTTGTGACCTGCCCCTTGGTCTTTATGTCATCCGTGGGGAAAACGTGGTACTCATAGGAGAGCTGGTAAGCTGAGTTCACTCGGATTCACTTCTCGATTTAGGTTTCTTAGTAAAGCTCATAGTTCTCGAGATAGAGGTCCTCAACAACTGTACTCAATAGTATGCCTGTAATCAATTGCCTGAAACCACAGATAATCTATGTGAACGGACTGAATAGTAGAAGGAGAGGGGATGGGAGGAAATGAAGATGTAGGAGGGAAAATAGAGAGGACTACCTGAGAGTAAGAAGTTTTGACAAGAAAAGTGCACTGCATTGATTGGTTGCGTCTCGACGATATTATGATGTGGCAACGATTCGTGTATCGTTTCTGATAGTTTATGTGTCTATAATCTCAGGATCCTGATAAAGATGAGTTGCCATCGCACATGGTTAAAGTGAGCCCAGCAGATATAAGGCGGGTAAGTAATCGTGGCAGTTATCCCGTACCGAACAAATATTGTTGTCCTTGTTCGAAGGTAATTTTGTGGGTTTGACGTGCACTAGCTCCATTGTGGACACCCTTAAGAAGAGTTAACAGTGGAGATTGGTTACTGAGCTCTTTTTTTATTGTTACTATGCTCAGGCTCAAAAGGCAGAGAGGGATGCAACAGAGCTCAAAGGCACCATGAGAAAGCGCATGGAATTTCTGGACCTGGATTAAGGATTCACAGCTCGGTTGGCTTCACAGCATGGGTGGAGTCATGCAGAGCAAGGAAGCAGCTAGTGTATGGTTCGTTTTTCAGAGTAATGACACTGCTGCTTCTGTGGATGTGTGCTAAGCCATGATTCAGGAACGCCAACAAGCATGGCGAGTTTTAAGTGTCATGCTGACCCGCACATTTTATCGCGGACTGCGTTCCAATCCCGACTCCTACATTTGTCGTGGATGGTGGCATTCACCAAAAAGGGCTGCAAGATCACTGAATGTCAACAGTGTTTTGTAGGGCCACTAAGCGATTGGCTTTTTGATACTTATTTATTTAATTACTTACCTCCCCTTTTGTTGGAAGCCTTGCCTTCCATCATCATCTTACCATGTGGTATGTGATCTACTGAATTCCAATTCATTTGAAAGTGGTTGCTTATCCCCAAGATGGAAACTTAGAGAAGGGGAATGGGAAGCCATTTTATGAGCCTGCCCATCTTGATTAGAATGCTTGTTTAGATTTTGTCTGCCTGGTGGTGACTTTCTACCCACCTCCCAGACATTCTATCCATGATTGGGATTATAAGCCCATCAATACTACGTTTCTCACCATCGAGCCAGCTAAAAAGTGTTTACTTGCTTGCTACCCCAGTAGAGTGACCAACTTATGATCTTTTCTTTTTTTTGAAATGGGTTGACTAGTCTTTTCTGTGTACAGGCAGTTCTTAGAACGTATAGCTGAATATCAGCTCTGGGAAGTTCTTGTAGCTCTCAATTGTGGACTGGGGTAGCTTCGGGGAGCCTATTTGTGATCTTGCTATGCAAACCACCTTCCTGTTTAGCGTGAAGGTTTTTGTGCTTGGCCTTGTTATCCGGCCAACGTTTGTAGCAGGTGCCTCTCTGGACTACTCTTGGCTTCAGGAGTGGCATTGTAGCTCTGTTTAGGAGGAACATCTGTCCACCTCCAACTTTGTGGAAGTGCTGCGAATGAGCTGCCTCATTTTAATGGCTGGATGCTGTGTTACCTTTTTTTTGTAAGCAAAGTAGATTGATTATGAGCACGAAGTAGTCTTCTTTCACTCTTCAAGGAATGGAGTCTGGAATCTGCTTCCTATGCCATGATTGTAAATATCCTGGAATCTATTTGTCATGGCATTCGTCTTTTCTTGGGCATTTGGTTTGCGAAGCTCGTTATTTCACGTTCTCTGGCATTGGATCTTATAATGTGTGTTCACAAGCTCGAGTCACTACTATCTATTGTTATGCGTATTTTTCGATATCCTCACAGACTCACTATTAGTTACCTGATGTGATGATCTGTTTAGCGAAACCATCTTCTGAGGGAGAAAATTAAGTTTATCCTGCGTTGTTACTTACCTTTCTCTCTGTTCTTGCCGTGTCATGCAACATTCGAGGCCTACGCCGGTGCGATTGGCTGTTGAGTGTTCTCTCTCACGCTTGATGTGGAGGGGGTTGCAGGCCACTTTACGTGTCCGTTCTTACACGCTGCTGTGATTAGAAATAACGGACAGACCACTTCATTCGTGAAGGTCACGACAAATAACGCTGGAACAACAACAGATGGAAGAACCACAAGTGATTGATGGTGTCAATAGGCCGGAATGCTTGAACAGATGACTATAAAGTCTTGCACGCGTTTTCGATTACTTGCACTGTAGTGAAAGAATCTAGTAGTAGTTATTGAAGGCTTTTAGATAAGTTTTCATATGTTGCCTATATTGAATTACTTGTTGCAATTTCCTTTGTCTCAATTTCATACGTCGTAATACACTGAAGATAGATATAGATCATAATTTCTTGAACAGTGAACTTATACCTGATTATATGTACTTAAGTGGAGTAGGCAATAGTTGAATAAATCATATATCGAATACTTATGACAAATATGAGTATATGATAGTTTTTTAGAAAGTTGCTACTTGGATTTGATACTATGGATTGCATAAAGTTAGTGATAAGTTCTCAAAATGGAAAAGTAGATGTTTAAGAAATTGAAGTAGTCTTACAGAGTGTTCTGTCAGTGGGAGTGAGTATAAGTTTGAATTTTTAATAGTTGAAATAACATAGTACTGGTTTGGATTTTAAATACTAAACCACCAAAGAAAAGCATGTAAATTCTATAATTTGAAGTGTAATGTGTATTAATTGCTACTTGAAGTAAAAGATAAATTTGTGGAATTTTGTAATTTACAATGTAGAAATTGAGCAAGGAAATATATTTACACATGGTATAAATACCAAACGTTTATTTGCAAATTTGTATAATGTCGAATAATGTATGGAATATAATATTATTGAATTGAAGTCTGAATTGATTTAAGGTTAACCTGGAAATCAATTGGGCTGATTAAGATATCAATATCGGTTATACTATCTCAAAGTTTAAATTTTTATTTTTATTTTTACTTTTAAGATCAACAACAGGAATTTCTCGAAATGATAATAATAATTTTTAGTTTCGCAGATTATTCCAAATGGTTTGATCATCACGTACAAACCAACGATTATTGATGTATATCATATAGTACTATTGAGAAAGCAATGAAATATACATGAAAAAAAATGCATATAACAGATTGAAGTTATATATTTTTTAGCAAAATACATAAAAGTATGAATTTAATGTAAAAAATACAATGGATAAATGATAAAAAATTGAATATAATGTTTATAACAATGATCGTAAATTAATACGAGCATGATAACTTTAATGCTATAAACATTTCTTTCATCTCTTGAATGTTTTATTAGAAAACAATGATATTGATAATGTTTTATTATCATGTGATACAAAATTAATTTTGTAATACTAAGAAAATTTCTCTTTGTTTTATATTAAAAATCTATTCCACTTGAGTAGAAACAAATTACATTTTATAGATCTGAGAACAAAAAATTTTAATTCAACCATAGTTACACAAGCAAGTATATAATTACAAAATTAAAAGACTAAATCAAGATATTGAAATCAAGAATAATTTAGACATAGAATATTTTAGATGTGCAAATAATTATGCAACAAATTTAATATTTCAAAATTTGAAATTTTGGATTATCAAATCCCAAATTTCAAATCAATACGTTACATTGCAAATATATTAATGCTATGCAATTTGACATTAGGTGATTGATTATGGCTCAGCTTATTAGTGCAATGTACATTTTTTCAAAGTTAAATTTTATTCAGTATTTCTTAATCATAAAAATAATTGATGAATATCCTTGTACTTATGAAACAAATAATATCTATTATTATAATTTTTATTATGTGATATTTGAAACTGTGAAGATTTTTGTAATTTGATATACTTGAATATGTCAATTTTGCAAAAGTAAAAAACATTTTCACAAACAACATAAAAAACTTTCTCTTGTCAAAAACCGCATCAGAAGAATTCACGCTTTGACGCAGACTCCGAACAGGAACCGCATCTGATACCAATTGTAAATGTAAAACCTGAGAATCATTAGTGACAAAGCATTCAGCTGATAATCAACATGAAATGGAAATAGTTTTGAACCAGCAATTGACACGTCTCGGTTTGACCTCACTAATTGCGTCATTGCCCCAAGCGCAAATATCAACATGAACGAGACAAGCATATAACATGGTTCACCCTCAAGCTACTAAAATAACATCGTGATACTGTCCGTACTGTCTAGTAATACTGGCGAACAATCTCAACTATAAATACCTAAACATGAATTTAGTCGTTAATCAGATTTAATTTCAACACAATATTGATCATAGATAGTATTAATTAATTTTTTTAGATTAAAGTAAATTTCTAGTTTGTAAGTAAAAAACAATCCAATACCAAAACATGATAGTATTTAAATCTAATTAATTACAGATCAAGACAAAGATTAAAAGATTGAAAACTAAAAGTCTGTATTGTCCAATCTGAACTATCTTTCATGTTTTTAAAATCTTGCAGATTTAAATATTTTCACTTTATAACAAGAAAATTGTAACATTGTGAAAAAAAGAATTTTTTTTGTTTTAGTTTAAGAGATTAATAATGCAGTGTCTAGCAATTATTTTTTTTTGTTCAAATGTGATTAAAAAAGCAAAGCTCTGAAACATATTCAAATTTTTTTTAAGATATAAAAAATATATTCAAGAAAAATCTTATATATAGTAGACATTCGGATAAGTCCGCATTTTGATCTCAGGAGTATGATGGGAATTAATGGGGATGCGGACTTACGATTATACTTAACATCAAATTTCTAAAAATCTACTAAATAACCAGATGATTTAAGATTCAGTGGATTTCATCAAATCCCTAAACATTGACTAAATCACCGTTAGTTTAAGGTTTAGTCAATTTTAACTTAAAGAAAATTTACTAAAGTACCGCTAGTTTAAGGTTCAGTCAATCCAAGTGTGAAGGAATTGACTGAATTACCTTAAATTTAACATTAAGTAAAATTCCAATGTGAAAAAAATTGACTGAAAATAGTACACTTACGGTTGAGTCAAATTTCAACGTCAAGATGAATTCAAGATTTCATACGATGAACATGCAAAGATCTTCTAAGCGTTAGGATAAAGGCAAACGTCTCAATAATCGTCAGCGTATGAAAATCATTAGTTTACCAAAGGCGTCATAGTTGTCTTCCATGCCTAGCATTGCTCAATAGTTTGGTGTAGATGAAAGAGTTATTCGAACGATCAAATTTAGCAAGTATAAAATTCATAAACGAGCATAGAGGTTAGACCAAGCCACTCAAGAGTCAATGTTCCGTGTTTCTCAGACGATGTTTTCAAATGTCAAAAAAAGCTTATTGAATGGATTGATGCAGGACGCCGAGCTTCGTTTTTTTTGCCTCCTAGTATTATTTTCCAGCAAGCGAAACAGATAGCGACCACAATGGAGATTGCAGATGAGAAATTCAAGTCATCATGGGGCTGATTTGCAAGATTTTCACATCGATACAGTTTGAATAGCGTAAATTTGTTTGTAGAAGTTGGCGAGTTTGACAAAAAAAAAACCAGAAACTTTGAAAGCATTGGAAGATTTGTCTTTCCTAATCGGCCAATACGATCCAACATGCGTTTACAACATGGACGAAACTGGGTTGTTCTTCCGCGTGATTCCATAATATATAATGCTAATGCCTCATGAAGACCTTACCACTGTCCGGGGCAAAAGACAAGTGAAAGACATGGTGACATTAGTGGTGTTGCAACGACAGTGAGACATAACGAGTTTTGATCATGTCATGTGTATCGACGTTGTTGTCGATTTGAGTTCAGACACGTTAGATTTGAGTTTGAGGGGAGATACACGTTGGGACGTCCTGCACGTTGGGGTCGACGACCTTGAGTTTTATGCGAGGCGAACTCGAAGAACTGTCAGTTCTTCGAGTTGAGCCTTACGCGTCGGGGTTTGTCCCCTTAGATTTGACTCTTAATCTACCTACGAGTAGTGAGTTTGGCTCGACTCTTTGTACAGTTTGTGTTTCAACACTCTTTTTACTCGAAGAACTACGTGTAGTGTGTTTAGATTTTGGCTTGTGTTCAAGATTTTGTTCGTGATTTTCTCAGTTTCTTTTCGTGGTTCTATTAGTGCATTAGTCGGGATGAGGGGAGAGTCACTTCGAAGGGAACAGGTGCCGTGGGTAGAAGGGTAGGATTTGTGCTTTGGAGAAAAGCAGAAAGGGAGAAAAGGCAGAATTTTACATCACTTGCAATGTCGTCGAGTCTCACTTTCTGCATGGCACTCCATTGGATACTCTGGACGAAGCAGTGGTTCTCATCGTCTTGTTGCATGGGAACGACAGCAGCCTTACGGCTCAGGAAATCGTCGAGCAATTCTCTACGCTGGAACTACTTTCTGTTTGTCAATATCAGATTCCATGGCGGCTTCTTTGACCGACGCTCGGACATTGAATAAAGTTTTCTGGAGCTTGTTTCAAATCACCAAAGATTACATTGAGACAACCATCTACAGCGATTAGTCGTTGCTCCATCACTTCGTGTTGGCTTCTCGGGAAACCGGACAGGTGTTGCGGTTAGTGAGAATGTTGTGGAAGCTGTTCGACATAAACCTTCACCATTGTGCCTCATAGTTGAGGACAATGTAATATGCACACTCTTAGTGGGTGCAGCGTTCGCGAGTGCCAAGGTGAAGTGC